ATATAAATAAATTACAATTAATTAAGGTTTTTAGTTGAGATAAAAAAGTCAGTGGCACGAGCGGGATTCGAACCCACTCTCTTCGGCTAGATATGCCGTTGCTCTACCACTTGAGCTATCGTGACCTCGATCCACTCGGATACTAACTTCCCATCTCAACCCCACCTTTTGAATTTTTCCTTGAGTTAGTGTCCGAGTGGATCGAGGTCACGATAGCTCAAGTGGTAGAGCAGCGGCGTATCTAGCCGAAGATCGTGGGTTCGAATCCCGCTTGTGCCATTGACTTTTTTATCTCAACTAAAAACCTTAATTAACTGTAATATATTAATTGGTCAAGCGGAACACGAAATTAGTAAATATAAATAAAAACCAAAAAATCTGTTGAATAAGCTAGTCTAATTTGTTCAAAACTGTATGAAATAAATAATAGTTTTGAAATTTATAAAAAATCAATGTGAAATGTTTATCTGTTCTTTATAATATATATTTTGTTTTTCAAATGTTTAATTTCTTAGCATATTTTTCTGTCCAGATTGTAATGTGAGTAACAACATTCGAACAATTGCCCCGATCTGCTGTGATTGTCTCGTTGGTTTTCTTTAGACTCGCTTTTGTATTGTCCTGATTACTAGAACCATTGGAAAGGACTTGCACACGGAGAAACGCACAGACCAGCCACCGAAGAGAGCGAAATATCTAAACGTTTTTTTATTATTAACGTTATTTTACATTTACTATCTAACTTCAATTTCGGGTCAAGCTGGCGGGTTTCTTTCGTAGAGCTAACGAATATTTTATTGTCATAATCAGGAAATTAAGGTTTACAAAGTTATAACCTATTGTTCTTCAATATTTTCCGACCATTATTGTTTAAGATGAAAAAACTGGAAGTAGCCCTTTTCACACGGTTACGTCATACTTCCTACACTTGAACCCTGGGGGGGCGGATTGTTATTTAAGAAAAAGTGGCCATTATATGTTTCCTTTGGGATTCCGGGGAATAGCAGAGGGTTTATCCCTTCATATAACTCCAATTAAATTCGAGTGAAAGTCTGAGACGGTAATCTCGGTAAGCTCTTCCCATCCTCGTCGTACCGTCGGAAAATGGTGAATCTTGACAGGTCCCTTAGGACTAATTTCCACACAGGTCCGAAAGGCCCATTTCCTGGACCGTAACTATCCAAATGGGGATCTTTGGCAAGCGTGATTCCGTCTTGGAAACACTTGAAATGGTTGCGTCGGGTGTTAATTTCTCTATGGTAGGAGTGTTGCATGTTTCTTGGTTTTTGAATAAAAATTCAGAAAGACGATGTAACAAGGGTGGGTAAAAAAAATTATCAACTTGCACATGTCTTAAAATTACATAAACAAAAAAATCAACAATATTCAATATTTTGTTCAAAACTTGTGTCAGTTTAGACAATAATGTCATAATTTTTTTTTATTACATCTGAATTCATTGTTCGTGATAAAATAGTATTTTAAACCACCCTAGTATTATGATGACTGCATTGATCTTGATGATACTCAAATATTCTTCAGTAATGAATTTTATTAAGACACAGTAATACAAAACAGTAATGTTCCATTCACATTTAAAAATTGCGTGTAGTCAAGATTTTTTCCAAACATTTTATCAGAAAAAAACCAACTAGCAAATTTGATTTTATTTTTTATTTAAGTAGTTTAATTTATTTAATTTACTTTTTATACATACATAATTTTAATCTGTTCTTTGCTCTCCAGTCGGACTATCAAACGAAATAACGAAACAAAAAAGTAGTTCTAGAAAAAGATACGATACAATATACATAAATAGGAAAAAGAGTAAATATAACCTCTTAAGGGTTTTATAACAATAAAGTAATAAAAAAATTATGATTATATAACAACACTCACATTGTCAAAAAAAAAATTACTTGCAAATATTGGGAATCATAGGTAAACATAAATGTATTAATTTTGTCCTTATATAAACTGATAGTTACAGAAATATGAAAAAAGATAGATAGGAAGATAAATAGATTGATAGGGAAGATGGATACTAGATAGATACATAGAGATAGAGAGAACGAGAACGAGGTAAAGAGAAAAACATAGAGAGAGAAGGAAAATGAAAAATAAAGAGTAGAGGAACAGAGGGAGAGAGAAAGAAAGAAGAAGAAATGAAGATAAAGATAGAGAAATAAAGAAGAAAGATAAGGCGAGAGTTAGAGATGGAGATAGATAGATAGGGGTATAGAGATAAAGAAATAACGAGAGGGGGAGGGGGAAGAGATAGATAGATTATTTAAAAGAGAAAGAGAAACAGAGAGAGAGAGAGAGAGAGAGAGAGAGAGAGAGAGAGAGAGAGAGCAGAGCAGAGTAGGCAAATAGAAACAGCAATAATGAAGTAGTAAAAACGTGAATGTACAAACAAACATAATGGGATTACATCACACTACATGCCATGACACATACTCACAAAGTGTGAAACTAAGCTTAAGCGCTTAAGCGAGATAGATGAAGCCAAAGAAAGAAAGAGAAAAAGAGATAGAAAGAGAGAGAGGGGGGGAGAACACACCCAAAGCATAAGGACTCACAGTATTATCAAATATTAGTTAGTAATTAATTATTCGGAAATCGTGAGATGCGGTCTGGTAGTATTAGTATTAATAATTTATTATGAACCATCTTATTGTTTTTACAAACATTTTCATTACATTTGTTTAATTATTAGCTTTAACAAATTTTGAGGCAGTATTAATTTATTATGTAGAATAATATTAACTCCAACAAAAATGGCTAGAAAATTTGAGTACATTTGAAGAGATATTTTATTTCCTACATTCATTTGACTTTTTTATTGTGTAAAGTTTGTAATATACATATAAATGTTTTATTGGGTTTTGATTTTAAAATGGATAGTAAAAGTAAGTTTAGGATAGAATTCGAGGGTATTAAACAGAGTGTCTACGAGAATATTGAGTCTGCAGCTTACACTCTTGTGGTTCTTCTGGTTTGAAGATATTTTTTACGTTATTCTAATATGAGAGTGATGTTGGTATTTGATTCATAGCAGTAGGTCACTGAGATCGAAGGACGAAAAAATGGGCTTGTTAAATATCCAAGTTCTCTTGAGGTGTTGATAAATCAAAAATTGCCAATCGGAAGGAACTGGAAATGGAAATCGTCAGATTTAAATGATGACGGGTGAATTTCACGATTGACCGAGTTGTTTAATTGCGCCAGGAATCGGATGCGCCATCGAGGCGCGGAAGAAATGGAAAGCCCTACTTTCACCATAACAGGAAGGAAGATGTCCGTTGCGTCACATCTCCCAGGCATCCCATCGTGAGTAGCGTGCCATAGGTGGCTGCTTCGCATGCGTTATTCCTCAAAATAATTCACCATCCGGTCCAGTAATTCGGCCGATTGCCGGAGAGATCAATGCCAGCCAGTGTGACAAGGAGAAAAGTGAGGAAAAACTACAATGACAGCCCCTTTCACTCTTCACGCTTGTTTTCCTACCATAGGAACTACTGTTTTCTCATTTCTCTATCCCTCTGCTAAACTATTTTACAACATAATGCTGTTAAGCGGGACGGCGTTCTTCAATTTTCTTTTAGGAATGGAGAATTTCTTTTAAAATCGTCAAAGTTGGACTTCCTGGATAGAAAAAATGCAAGACTTACTTGCTAATGGGCAGTGTGCAATATTCTACATACCTCAAAGAGTAAACGATAAGAGTAAAAACACACAATAACATATAAAACTATAATTTTAAGAAGAGAAAAGTCTAAAGTAGTGATATTTCCTCTTGAGTAACGGAGTGAAAAACCTGCATCTTGGTCGTTCCCAATCATTTTGGTCTACCTATTTATTCTCACTGGTTGGTCTGTCAGACGATGTCGGCATTTTGTCATCTACAGTGTTGGGTCTGGGTAAACAATCTTTCACGAACAGAAAAAAAAATTTTCAAGTTGGAGTCTAAAGTTGTTAGAGTGCAAGATTGTGCATATCTCAGAGAGTAAGTGATGAAAATAAAAGAAACGCACTAACAGAAGTATATACAATTTTCCGAATAGAGAAGTCTTGGCCAGTTATCGCCTTTTATGTCTGCTTAGTGACGAACCTGCAGTTTGGTCGTTTCCTATCATTGTGGATTGCCTACCATAGCTGTTTTGGTCCTTTCGCATTTCCGGTGGGCACACAGGGAAACGCTCAGACCAACCACTGACGAGGGCGAAAGGTCGGAATACATCTGACAGACCAAAACAACGCTGTCCAATTTTTCAACACATTCTTAGATTTTACTTTAGAAAAGTCGAATTTCTTTTAAAAATAAGCTTTACTTCCTGAGAGAGAAAAAAACGCAGGACTTAATTGCTATATTGGCAGTGTACAAGGTCTGCATATCCATAAAAATACTTCGCTGTTTTGGTTAGACGCTTTTCAACATTTTGCCATCTTCAGTGGTCGCACAGGGAAAGGCTCAGAGCAACCTCCGACGGCAAAAGGATAGGCAGACCAAAATGATCAGGAAAAACCAACTTTCCAGTTGTTTTCCCATTTTAATAACATGTATTAAAAAAACCCCAAGCTTAAAAAATATATATGTTTAATTATTCAGAAATCGTGAGATGCGGTCTGGTGTAATGTAGGTTTCAGAAAAACATTTTCTTCATCGTGCCAATGTTTCGATCTTTATTGAGATCATCTTCAGGGCTCAGGGATTTCTGAATAATTATCGATTAACGGTCACTAATCACCACATATATGTTTAATGAACAATTGTTTCTAATGTGGGTTTGAAGTAAACATTAGGTTACATTCATTTTTTGCTTTATGTCATTGTTCTTCTATTTGCCAATATCTTGCAAGCTTGAGAATTGTCTTGTGAAAGCATTTCTTCGGCTTCCAGCGTAACATTTTTTTTCCTCGTTTCGTTCTCTCTTTTCTGGAAGAGGGAGGACCAACGGAGCTCAAGGATGATATACGGCGTTTTGGTGAATCAGACGCGGATACATGCAAAAGTGAACAAGATGCCGTATTTGGGTGGAAATGTTCACGGAGAGCCTTGAACCACTGTCACGTCGAGAGTAGCACAAACGATGCCCTTCCTCTTCCTATTTATTGCGACAAACCGACTGCACAATGATCGAATTTCAGTACCGCGGGTTTATTAATGAATTGTAGAGTGGGTCAGTATTATTTTAAGAGCGCCGACCGCTTTTCTGGCCGAGAGCATCAGTAATTCGGGGACCATGGCCAGCGGCGTGACTAAAGTGGTCCTCCGTTGTGAGGAAGCAAATGAGACCCAAATCCTAGGTGAAGTTTGTTATAACGCTTAAAACACTAAACTAATACTTCTTAATAAAAAGATAATAAAATGGAAAATTTTCACAGCTTAATAATTGCAAAAACTAAACTTTTCCAAACTTCCTTATTTGTTATTCAGTCTAGTATATTTTCCTTCTTTTTGTTTCAGATCTATCTGAGTGTCAGCTTATGCAGGTGCCAGATGCAGTTTACCATCTGATGAGACACACTGAACTGAAAGCCTGTAATCTTTCAAGTAATGTCATCACAAAGATCCCTCCCAAATTCGCCGTAAAATTCTCCCTCATAACAGGTTGGCCAATGAATATTGCACTAAATCTATTACTTTACAATTAACGCTAAAACTAATAAAATATTAAATCGTTTAGAGTTAAACCTTTCGCACAATCAGATGAGCAAGCTTCCTGATGAGCTGGCAGATTTGGCTGAACTAGAGCGGCTGGACATATCCCACAATGCTTTTATAAGCCTGCCTACAGCGGCTTACAAGATGCCCAAGCTGACTCTACTCAACGCCAACTGCAACCACATCATCGGTGAGTAGTCTGGAGAATTTTTTTCTCGAGCAACTCTGTATTGCCCCTTGTTCTTGCAGACATTGATGTCGAAAGGCTGCAGAACTCACCATCCCTCAAGGAAGTCGATCTTGAGGAGAACCCCGTACCGTTCAACACCGCCACGGCACTCCGCAGCCTCCCGAGGATACGGGTTGTACTCTCGGAACGGAAGCCAGAGGAATGGGAAGATCTCACTGTTTAGTCATCAAACTGTAGTCAATTCTTACTCCTGAATATCCCCTTTACCTCTTTAATACCTGATTACCGCTATCCTTGAGAGATGGCTGGATTTTCAGGGTTAAAATGCTGCTCAAAGTACAGTTTATAGTACTACTAATTGATTGTTTATGTAATATGCATAGATATCATATTATTTTTTCTAATTCAAAGTTTATTAGAAAAATAAATATTTATTTTTGTATACCATATACATATTACAATCAATTATTCGTTTTAGAACAATTGTTATAAAGAAAAATTATATGTACCCAAGTGGCATTTTCTTTTTTTAAGGCCAAAGTGTGACAATACTATTTTCAGTGTGATATTTGTATTATATTTTTATATATGCCCAGAAAGAATAAAAGAATAGTTTTTATTAATCATTTATAGATGTTACTAATACTTAATTGTTTTTTGTATTATTTTAGTCTTTAACTTCACAATATCTGTGATGTTTTTTTTTATCTATAACATATTTAGATAAATAAAAAAAACTGAAATTAAATCTACTTAAACTCACAATATTGTTTGACTATGTGTATAAACATTTTTTATGTACTTGTATTTGTTACCTTATTCTGTAAATTATGTTGTTTTTATTTTGTATTTTTTTTAACTAATGCTTAATAAAATTAAAACTTTATCTTTTTCATTTTTTTCTATTTTATTCCTATATTCTGAATTTATTAAGATGGTTGAATAATAAAACCTTATCAAATAAGAAATTACATGAAAAAAATCTTTACTTTTAAAATATTGTTTATAAATATGATTCACAAGCATATTGACCAGCACAAGGTAAAAATGTAGCAGCTCCAAGCATAACAAAATATATAAACAATAAAAGAAAAATATCTTTTATTCTTAAAAAGACATGGTAAATAAAATATGACCCAATTGCAAGGGTGACATGAAAACAAAACAAATAACACATCACATAATGTTAGAAACGATAAATGATGGAGTGAGTGTGGTGTTCAATCCTTTTTAAAAAGATAGTTCCTACTCACAGTAAGTTGTTTTGCAACGATCCGGATTTCGAGCCTTTTAGCTCATCATCAGGTTGTAGAAGTCCTTCAACCTGATGATGAGCTAAAAGGCTCAAAATCCGGATCGTTGCAAAACAACTTACTGTGAGTAGGAACTATCACATAATGTTTATTAAAAATAATGCAAAATTTTACTTTTATTCTGTAGTTATTAATATATGTTGTTAACAATCATTTTGGTCTGCCTATTTTCCCTGGCTTGGCCTGTTATACGCATTTCGCCATCATCAGTGTGGGGCTGGGTAATTTTTGTGGACAATCCCTCACTAACAGAAGCAAATAACATTTTAAAATTAGAGACGTCAAGATTTGTGATTCTCTTGAGGTCTGTGGAGTGACGAACATGCAATTTGGTCGTTTCTGCCATCTTCAGTGAACAAGGTAACGGTCAGACCATCCACTGACAAAGGTGATAGGCTGAAATGCATATGACAGATCAAACCACATCGCTGTCAAATTTCAACCCGTACTTCGATTTTCTCTTAGTAAAGGCCGATTTGTTTTCAATTCTTCATCGAAAGCTTTCTGGAAAAAAAGAAGGCTTCATTGCTAAATTGGCAGTGAATAAGGTTTGGTGAGAATAAATAATGAAAATAAAAGAAACACTACCAGAAGCAAGTACAGTTTTATGATTGTTTACTTTACTTTCTCATCTGCCTACCATCACTGTTTTGGTCAGATGCTTTTTTGCCTTTTGCATCTTCAGTGAACACTCAAACTCAACACAACATAAATAAACTAATGACCAGTAACATCCAAATTACAGGTCATCTTGCAGACCATACTAAAAAATATTACCATTTATTAATAATAATCAGGTTTGACTTTGTGCCATCTTCAGTGAGGAAACACGTTTGAATAACATCAAAGAAGTTAGTGTAGGTTGACCTAGTGCCAATTCAACCACCATCTCGCAGACTGAAACCCACCAGGGACCACATTGGCTGAGAGTGGTTAGGGCGCCAGAGTCCCATGTGTCACGGGTTCGAATCCCGGCATAGCCATTGGATTTTCAATTGTGATTAATATGGAGAAAGTATTATAAAGTGGTTTGTCCCCTTGAATGCAACACCCAACAAATAGTTGGACAGGAACTATTATGTATGACAGGAATTACTTTACTTTCCTACACCCACAATCAACCTTAATTTATAAAATATAAAAACAAAATATCAGGAGTGATCTGACTAAAGGGAGATTTCAGTTAAACACCTTGGATTTTTTTTCAGCAGTGTCAGCAGCACAGCCAAGCTCTCACAAACCACGGGGCAGAGGCAGCCCCAGGTAGAGGAAGACTGGAACCAAAAACAGGGCTGTATGTATGCACCCCTTAATCACCCCTAAGACGAACAACACCCATGGTCCCAGTCAGACGTCACTCCCATTGAGCCTTGTCACACTGCCAACAAGGAGACCAGCAGAGGAAACAAAAATTGACATTTCATCTATTTAATTGGATGTCTGTTAAAAATTAACATTTTATGACGTTGAATTATTGTTCAGGGTGAAGTGAAGGTCTTTGAGGATTGGTGGTGGGTTCTGGCATAGGACAATAAAAGGCAATTATTTTGTAGAATATAGTAATAGAAGATACACAGATTGCACAAATGGGTTTAACGAATCTTTCGAGAAGGTCTGAAGGAAGATTATAATTTTTTTTACACCGCTTGGATAATTTTAAAATATTCAATAGGTATCACACAAAATAGTCGTTTTTGATCATTTTGGTCTGCCTATCCTCGGTTGAAAGACCAAATTACAGGAGGCGCATCACTGTACTGTGAGTCACTATGAAGAAAATTTACAAGACATTGTTATATTATTATAATTTACAAATGAATTCCTCTTTCAAAATTGAGTTCCTAAGTAACATTGAAAATTGTGTATTATTTGATTTAGGATGGTATTAGCAAAAATTTTGTAACCAATGTTTCGTGTGTATAACAGAATTATCAGTATCAACGTAATAAACGTGTTAGCTCCTTCTTTTTCAATTTATGCTGAAGTTTATATATTATATGTAGTTTTGCCATTTTAAACTATACTCCAATTTTGCAAGCATAGAAGACCAGGATGATAAGAAAAAAAACTACACGTCACCATACAGACCAAAATCAGACCTGATCCATTCTGCGGGATAGGAATCCCATGTGAGAAATTTTTAGACCAGAAAATAGCATTGGACATAGTAATGTAACTCTGGGCACAAGCGTCCAAGAATATCTGCAGTATTCGCAAAGAAAGTACAATTCTGACTGATTTCTTGACTGGGCAGACATCAGAAGAGAACAGGTGTTGTGCTTATGACCTGCAGAAGCAGGAAAAAACCTATACATTTAACTACCCACAAAGGTTTTGGGTACTAAATATTTTTAACTGTACATAGACTTTTGCACCTTTATGAATATGATGTGTTTATTTACTAGAATGAATGTAATTTATTAGTATGTATTGGTTTATTCCCAATTATTCTGAGGAATATCGAGTACTTTGGGGCAGTGTGAGTGTATTAGGGTGTGTGAATGGAGGGCTTATCCCCAGATACCCCCAGGAATACCGAATATTCTGAGGTAGTGTGAATGGAAAGAGACTATCACTGATTACTCTGAGGAACAAGTTTCTGGGTTAGTGGGAACTAAGTCTGGTGTATGTGTAATTTATTAGGGTGAATGCAGGACTTATTACCCTAGATATTTCGAGTACTCTGGGGGTAGAGTGAATGTTTACCAGACTGTCACGTTTTTGTGTTTATTTTATCATAGTAGACAACTCTGATACAAAGAGGTTAGTAAAAGGGTAAAGAAAAGAGAGAGTTTGTCACTGTAACAACTTCACTGGAGAAACATGAAAAGATATTAGGATTGAGAAAGATGGAAAAATAATTGAGGGCTGATATTGACCGTAGTTTAGTAACTCTATTTTTTAAATAAATACATGAAAAATTGTTTGCAGCATAATCATCCCAAAACATCATGTCTGCTTATTCTAGCTGGTTTGGCATTAGTATGCCATCTTTAGTGTTTGGTCTGCCCATTTTGTTTTTCTACTTTTCAAAGGTTGTAATAAAGGCAGATCAATCTGGATGATCATGCAACACAGCATAAACATCACTAATCTCTTAATCCAATAGACAGAAATTAATAAAATTTCAAATAATGAAATGCTTTACTGATTTACTTAGCAGAACTTTTAACTTCAATCATTTTAATAATTAATAAGAAGGGACAAAATAAATAGCTAAATGGCAGGCAACTATATTATCTTAACCTGTGGCATGCTAGATTTTTTAAATCTCAATTCATCCTAATATAAACCCAACATCGTTTCTATTTAACTATTGATATGCCTATGTCCTTTTAACAATATTCTTCAAACTCATTTGTTTTAAATAAAATTTCTATTGCCCAAAGTATTTCTTTTAGCTTTTATTTATATCAATGGCTGTCCAAAAATTTAGAACAAATTTAAAGAAAATTTTTCTATCTATCATCCTTTTGGAATCCATTTTTTTGCCACTGTTCATCAAGGGTCAGTTGGCTGAGGAATAATAAATGCTGAGGCTAATAAAACCTTGATGGTAATGTTAATTGATTATATTATATTCTTGGTAGTGAAAGACTATAAGCTAAAGGTGGAGAAAAAACACCCGAATGTTTAAATGATACTCCCAATGGGAAGATAAACAACTGTATTATAAAACTTAATTATTATCCAATCGGCTTGATTTATCATAAAAACAAATAACTTCTTTTAAACACTTTCTTTAATTTTCATGTGGTCTGTTCTTCTTTCTGAGGCATCCGCAATCTGAAACATGTAGACGGTAAGAACTATAGCTATTGTTTACTTCTGAATTGGATATCTTTGAAACGACGATGCAGAAAATAATTTGTAGATCTGGTTCGGCCATGGTCTTTTTGACTTGTTTATTTCAAAGCTCAAAAGCGTTTCTTTACACGACGAACATAAAAGACAAACATGTATACTATATAGAATTTTCTTGAAATATGATTTTTAATATTACCAAAAATCTGAAAACATTTATTGTTCCGGTTGTTTATTGGCTAACAAAAACTTCATTACGATATCCTAAGTCAGTTCTTAATACCCATTCTGACCATCTTGGATCCTTTCTCTTGTGCCTGGCATCTCCGTTGATCTAAAATTGATTTAATTATAGTATTTTCATAGAAATCAAACTAAATATAATAATTAGGAGATGGGAATTAAATAATAAAAACAATAGAAAAAAAGAGGTATTATATGTTTAATCAATGTAGGTAGTTAATGAATGCAACTGATTTTTGTGAACATTGTACAAAAGAGCTACATTATTAAACTCTACTTTCTGTGTAAAAAAATATTTACATCTGCCAAGAGATATGAATATGGAAAACACTGAAATTAAAACAAATCGTATTGGGGGGAGAAAAAAAAGGATGTAATAAATTTTAAAATAAATACACTTCAGATAAAGGACCAATTTCTTTTCTTATGTATGATAATATTGTTTGACATGCACACACATATATAAAATTATATAGAAGCAAACAATTTATCAATGATTTCAACAATATTTTCGATGTATAAATAATTAGCTTCTTGACCTAGGATTAGGTAGTACAGAGTTTTAGTATATAAATGGTAAGAAATTAAGATTAATAATTCAAGAAACAGATGAAGAATCGGCACCTGCAGCTGTCGGGGATTCTGAACTATTTTTGGTAACTGGATAAAAGTACGGATGTTCCATGGCTTCTCTAGCCGTCAGCCTCATACTGTGATCATAGCGGAGTAGTTTGTCTAAGAAATCAATCGCCTCAGGAGAAATCAGATGCTGGTTGTCAGAAGCAACAAAGCGGTCCCACCGTTTCTTCGTGTGTCTCCCAAGGAGCTCACCGAACCTCGGGTCCAATTCAATTTGGAATTTCTCAAGATAAGCAAAGAGATCGTCAGTACCGAGAATGCGTGTAATCCTCACAAGCTGATCATAATTGTCGTGGCCATGGAAAAATGGTTCCTTTTGGAAAATCATACTTGCGAACATGCAGCCCAGAGACCACATGTCTAGCGAATAGTCATACATTTGGTAGTCAACTAATAGCTCAGGGCCTTTGAAGTATCTCGAAGCGACTCGAACATTATACTCTTGTCCTGGATGGTAGAATTCAGCCAAACCCCAATCGATTAGCCTGAGTTTCTTTTTGTTGTAATCAATCATAACATTATGCGGTTTCACATCCCTGTGCATGATTCCCATGCTGTGGCAAAAATCTAAAGCTTTCAACAATTCATAGATGTAGTAACGTATATCCTGGTCTGTCAACCTCTGGTAAAGCAACTTAAAATCAGTATTATCAATATACTCAAATATAAGTGCAGGTGTCCTTGAAACTGGGTCTTTAACAACTTCTAATAGTGTAATAATATTTTTTCCTCCCTTGAGATTTTCCAGAATCTTTATCTCTCGCTTTATCTTCTTCTTTTTGACAGGTTTCAACATTTTTATTACACATTGTTCATTGTCTACTACGTTAATCGCTTCAAATACTTCGCTGTATTTCCCACGACCTAATTTTTTCACTAAATGATATTTGTCTTGGTCACCCCAGACGACTGCATACGACTCATAATCCCAGTAGTCCTTTGGCTTGCTCGAGTTGACGTCGACATAACACCTCGCCATACTTGGCAACGCCATCTTGAATTGTTCAGTATACAAAAAATTTCTCAATGTTTTTACAATATGCTGTCTCCGAACATTGGTGCTTAAGATTCCTGAAATATGAGAAAAACGATGGTTAATAGAAAATTGTAGAAAATTACAATATTAAAAAAATAACACAAGCGGGCACACATTATAAATTGTGTACACGCAATTATTCATAACTGCTGCAAATTAAAATTCTAAAGCTAAAGAGATATAAGGGTATACAAGAGGGGCCGATTTGAACACTGAGCACAAAGGTGGGAAAGGTAAGTACTGCATACTACAGAAAAGTGGAAATAAATTATGTAAATTGTTTGCCTTAAAAATTGTATAAATACACCATTACAATGGAATCACAAAATATCTTATTCTGATAGCCTTGTCAGATACTATTGAAAAATCAAATACACTTAAAGGAAAAAGCAAAGATTAAAGACAATCCCTATGATTCTGGTGGAACAACACCCCAGGACGGAGGCAGGCGACTTAGTCAAGAAAATCCCACTTAAGCTTACAACAGATTTGTGCAGCCAAAAAATCTTAAGACATAGATTTATTGGCTGGACTGAGTCAACTTAGTTGTATGAAAATAACGAGTGTAGCTGGAGATATCCTACGAAGGCCCTGCCAAGAAGAGGTAACCCCAACACAAACACGTTACTGGGAAGGCCAAACAAGAGAGTTTCTAATCATGGGAGAAGAAAAGCTAAACCTAGGAAATATAACTAGGTTAATAAAATGACTGAAGCTGAATATCAAAAGCTAGCTAGTCTTACATATGAGCGCGCACTGCAATAAAATCTTTATCCACCTTGATAGATGTACTTAGTGTCTATGATTCTATAAAGAGAGAGAGAGAGAGAGGGAGAGGGAGAGAAGGGAGGGAGAGCGAGAACAGGAGTAAATTAGCATATTCAATTATGCTGCTGTCGGAGGTTTTTAAAACAAATGACAAAATCCTTTTAAAATTCACACTATCTTTTCCATAAGTTTAAATTATAAGTCAATAAAATTAAGTCTGGGATTACTTCCCCTGTACATAGCATGTAACTATATATGTATGAAAATTGTATTAAAATAAGCTCTATTCAACTCTCTCTCTCCTAGTTTGAGAATGGACCAGGAGGACTGCATTCGACATCTGAATGTAACACAGCTACTGATTTTTGTGGGATGCTGAAGAAGAGAGAGGATGCGTGGAAGGAAATGATCCAAACGGGACAAAGGCAAAAGTGTTGCCATGAGAGCACACTCTGATGCATCAGTTGTAGTTATAAACCGCATGCTTGTCTCGTGCAAATTGATGGCTCATCTTGTTTCGCCTCATGGAAATGGTTAACCCAGGTCAGAGTTACATATATGATTTTCGTGTTTAGTTGTGCGGGTAATTTTTCAGCACAATGGAAAACTAGTTTTGGATAAAAAATATGGTTTGTCTTATTTAAAACATTCTTCGTTATAATTTGATCATTACTGATCATCTTAGTCTGCCTAATCACTCTAGGTTGGTCTTACATGCTGAAGATGATAAAACACAAAATCATCAAGGAATGGTAAACCTAGAATGGCCAGTAAGGATAAAATTAAAATGAAATGTTTGTATGTACACAACTAACCTAGACTTTTATTGTGTTAAAAATGATATCAAAATTCTTATTACAATGATAATATCAACTGCAGTAAAGGGGCGGCAAGCAAAGACTAAATTGTTAAAACATGGGAATGAGTATAATTTTGAATTCTATCATGAGGCAGTGATTGAAAAATGAAAAGCTGAATTTGTTGAGCATGTTTTAAAGTCAATTCAATGGTAAATTGAAACAATAATTCAATGAAAGGACGTTAAAGCAAAGAAACATGAGATTCCCTCCTGTTGTCTGGGGTGACAAATCTGTACGGTGCCTTCACACCATTTTTAACACAAAAAATTAAATTTTCAATGTTAGACTTATTTAAAACAAACATTCATCATTATGAATTGATCCGATCATCATAGCCTAATCTCGCAGGGTTGGATGTTGAAGACAGAAAATGCCAAAACATGTCTGACCGAGCAACCCAGCAAGGACCAAATTATGTAAATGTATTAGTCAGGGGGTGTAATATACTGCGCCCTTTAAGAGCAATTGTATGTCCCGTCCTGTTCCTATAGCACACCGGTAAGCCCTATTTAAGGCTCAAACTATAGTGAAATGTTTGTTCGTAATACAACAATTTTGGGAAAAATATTGTAAATCAAATGCAGTAAAGGGAAGCAAGCAAAGACAAGGGCGTTAAATCATGGGAATGAGTATATTTTTGAATTTATTTGATTGAATTTTCTTGAGGTAGGAGTTTAAAAATGAAAAGCTCGATTTGTGGAGCATGTTTTAAAGTCAATTCAAGGGTAAACTAAAACAATAATTCAATGAAAGCACATCAGGATAAAGCAAAGAAACATAAGAGTCCCTCCTGTTGTCAGGGGTGACGAATCTGTAATGTTCCTTCATAACATTTTTAACACAAAAAATTGTATTTTCAAGGTTAGTCTTATTTAAGACAAACATTCTTTACTATTCGATCTATACCAATCATCTTATTCTGCCTAATCTCAATACGTTCGATGTTATGTGTCTACAGAACACCGGTGAGTCGTTTTTAAGGATCAAACTATAGTGAAATGTTTGTTCGTAGTACAATAGATTTTTTGTGTTAAAAATTGTCATTATGGTGGAAAAATTTGTAAATCAAACGCAGTAAAGGGGAGCTAGCAGAATGATGTATTAAAATGTGAATGTACAGGAATGAGTATAGTACAATTAATTAATTAAGGTTTTTAGTTGAGATTAAAGTCAATGGTACGAGCGGGATTCGAACCCACGATCTTCGGCTTGATACGCCTCTGCTCTACCACTTGAACTATCGCGACCTCGATCCACTCGGACACTGTAGTTTTGTGGAGCGTGTTTTAAAGTCAATTCAAGGGTAAATTGAAACAATAATTCAATGAAAGCACCTCAGGATAAAGCAAAAAAAAAAAAAAACATGAGATTCCCTCCTGTTGTCAGGGGTGACGTATCTGTAATGTTCCTTCATAACATTTTTAACACAAAAAATTATATTTTCAAGGCTAGTCTTATTTAAGACAAATATTCTTTATTATAATTTTATCCCATCATCATAGTCTGCCTAATCTCACTAGGTTGGATGTTCTTAGCTTATAGCACATCGGTGAGTCCTATTTAAGGATCAAACTACAGTGAAATGTTTGTTCGTAGTACAATAGATTTTTGTGTTCAAAATTGTCATTATGGTGGGAAAATTTGTAAATCAAATGCAGTAAAGGGAAGCTAGCAGAATGATGCATTAAAAAATGCATGGACGGGAATGAGTATTGTTTTGAATTCTATCGTAAGGTAGGATTTTAAAAATGAAAAGCTGGGTGTGTAGAGTATGAAGCTCATCTATGTCAAATGGATTCAAAAATTGAAACTAAACATATTAGGGCAAAGTGAAATTGATTGTTGGCTGAGTTTGTTGTCCAGAGGTAAGCCTAAACTTGAGGAAAAGTTGTCGAGGGATATCGAGATAAGAGAGATGGCTTCACCGGAAGATCGCCTCCTTGGTGCCAACAAAGTCCAAAAGGGGTCATGTACACATTTTTTAAAAGGCACTCACCAAAGCAAAGGGTCAACTTCGGGACGAAAATCGAATCGAGTCCGTTATTCAGACGAGAGCGACCACGTTTTCGTGCACTACACTCAAAAGGCTTTCGAATCCATTTAATTTTCCCGTTCCATACTGAAACATATGGCGATAAAAAGGGGGGCAAACGTTATAAAATCGGGCCGGCAAAAATTTGTATGGGGCAAACGGGCGATTAGGCTCGAGAAGAAAGGGCGAACTGGGCCCGGAGGTTATAACGGGCACATTTGGAGGTTCGATTAATAAAAAGTTCCCTCACATTCGGAATTGTCTGGCGAAAAGATTTTATTCGGATATTCCGGCCGGATTGGCTTTTGTTCGTTTTGGGTTGAAAGCGAGTTGCGTAACGACCGAGACGTTTTATATATCGAAACCTAGAGACGGAAAACTCGAGAGTAGGGGAGAGGGGCTAGACTCTTCTTTCTCCGATTTACGTTTCAACCCGACGAGCCTCTCGGGGGAGAAAATTCTCATTTCTCTCCGACAAGGCCACACGCTTCAAAGAAAGTAAACTCTTACAAGGAAAATAGAATTGAAAATAAGAGAAAATTCGCAACATACCGTATAATACCAGTAACGGGTCGGCAAGGCTTTCGTGTAAGCGAGTTCTCAGCAAAAGGACACCTGTTTCTGGGAAGCCTCGCCGAGAACGGCTTTTCCCATCTCAGTGTCCAGAAAGGGCGAAATCTCTAGAAGTCGGCTCGGATGGGAAAACGGGATTCGCACTGGAAATCAGACGGGAAATGGGGAAAAAACGCGTTTCGGAAAGTTTAGAAAACACGGTTACCTACCTAAAGTGGAGAGCATCGGAGGGTTGGCGGGGCGGCCGTTCGGGGCGTTGGGGTCGGCGGCCGGGCCGTGCTCCTCCTCGCTCCTGCTCTCCTGCCGGAGGCGCTCGTAAATTAAACGCCTGTCACGGTTTGACGGACAGCCGCCGGCGACGAGGCTCAGACGCTGAGTGACGGCTGCATCTAGAAAAACGGAGAAACGGCCCACCCGCCGACGCCGTTATGAAAAATGCCGGCATTAAAAAGCCGACCGGGACAGGAGAACAGGACGGTGAAGAAGCGAGACCAGGCGGCGCCACTACACCTCCACCCCCACCAACCGTCCCTGTCCTCACAGCTCATACAAAATTTCCTAAAATCCCACAAACTAGCATTTTTGTCTACTTTTTTTTCTCAAAACGTATCATTTTCTTTTACAAAACTGAACAATCAACTTTATTGTAATGACAGAGGCAAAGTATATTAAGTAATACATAAATCATGGTCATCGATAAAAAAAAAGAAAATTTTCTTGCATACCGAGTGAAATTAAACTTCTCTCACCTTCTCCTGAAATTCTACAAAATTCCAAAGAATTGCATACTTAATCATCAATCTGTGATATTAAAACAACACCCACAGACATTAAGGAACATATATGCAAGCTGCCACCCATATCTAATAAATTGCATTAAAATTTATTATAAAATATTATTAATTCAGGTGTTGAGATGGGGAGTTGATGTCCGAGGGGATCGAGGTCACGATAGCTCAGGTGGTAGAGCAGCGGCGTATCAAGCCGAAGATCGTGGGTTCGAATCACGCTCGTGCCATTGACTTTTTTATCTCAACTAAAAACCTTAACTAATTGCCATAAAATATTATGTTTTTTACTGAAGGAAAATTTAATTAAGTGATTTTGAAAAATAAAAGATTTTAATTGCATAATTCACAAATTACAAGGGCTGTAAATGTATTCGTTCTATTTATTATGAGATGTTTTTAAACTTTTTTAAATCTTACAAACTGCTCAAAAATGAATAGATGTATTGCCAAATTTATAGTATTTCTTTTCCCTAGCATTTTTTTAATTTTTACTATAAATTTCATTAAAATTTATTAGAAATTATTATGTTTTTTACTGAAGGAAAATTTAATTAAGGGATTTTAAAAAATAAAGGGTTTTTAATCCCTAATTTTGTTTATTGAATTTTTTTTTTTAAATGAAATACTGTGTATAATGTCCTCCATTGGCTAAAACCTCTGTCCACTTGTTGAGCATATTGTTAATAAGGTTGTCGCTAATTTCAAAAGGAATTTCACTTCGGAGATGTTGCAATGCTGAATTCACTTGTTGCAGGTCAACTAGCTGCGGATGGTTGAAAAGCCTTCTTTGCAACACATCCCACATGTGCTCAATAGAATTGAGGTCTGTAGACAATGGGTGAAGGAGCAGATGGGAAATTCCCAGGTTTTCTAAACAGTGATGAACAACTCTGCCTCCATGAGGTCTAGCATTGTCATCCAGAAATCGGAAATCCCTGGTGATTTGAGGGATGTATTCCTAGATAATTTTTTGGACATAACTTACTGCGGTGTGCTTCAACACTATGGAGTCCAGTTCATCCTTCAGTGTAAATCCTAGCCCACATCACCTCCTACAAACTGCACTGAAGGAAGCACAAACTGGATTGTACACATCCCCTGTTCTTGGTAGACTCTTCGGCTTCATCAGTAATAACAGCATTCCAATTGGTATTATATTCTAGGCGCTCACTGCACCATACTCTCCATACTTTTAGCAGACTGAGTTGCTGCAAGTCATCTCAAAGGGGATACAATGTGAGGTTAACTTCCCACAAACAATTTGTAATCAAAACATCTAGTACTTCAAGGGTTCTGCCTTATAATGCTCTGAGATTCACTACTAGGCCTCCTGTTGGCACTTTCAGTCTCACAGAATCGGGCTAAAGCCCCAGGAGACCACATTCTGAGAAACACCAACTGCCTCTGTGATATCCATTTTCCGGTGACCAAGATGACTCATTCTTACAATAAATTGTGAACTTCTGTTCAAGATGATGTCTTTCCAAGGTTAAAGAGAATACAACTGAATTAAAATGAAGAAAAGACAAGAAAAGGTGTTTGTTTACCAAATTTTGTAATCTTCATGTTTACTATTCTTAAGTAAATCTGTTTTTAAAAATGAGAGGATTAACTTTATTTGTTTTTGGATTGTATTTTCTATTTTGTTTTATCCAACTAACAAGAACATATCGGTTAATTTAATTAAAATTAATAGAATAAGAATAAATTATAAATAACCCTATTCATTTTTCAGCAGTTTATTTATGACAAAAGTATGGCATTGATAGAGGAACTGAGAAGTCATCATACAGCTCTATCACTGTGAAACCTAGAAGTCAAGCATTGTAAAAAATTACCTAGGAGTAGTTCTTGATGTTTAACATGGAAGGTCCATCTTAAGAAAAGAAAGACACAATGGATATGGTGTTTCAGTCTCTCAGAATCGGGCTAAAGCCCCAGGAGACCAGATTCTGAGAAACGACTCTGTGGGTTAACTCCTAAAATGTCCTTATGATTCAGACCTATAGTCACATATAAAAGTTACACATGCTGGCCGAAACCAGGACAAATAAAGGCAGATAAAGCTGTACAAAAAAGCAAAAGAATTGCAAACCATTGAAAAGAGACCTGATTGTAAAAAGAAAGTAAAAGAAGATAGTACTGGAGCTCTTGGTATGTAGATGACTCGAAGATGGGAAATGGTATGGTCATAAAGTGCCTACTGGGAGCACCACATGACTCTCATCTACACCACAACCACGCCAAACTGCTAGCTGTAGGACATGTGCAATGAAATAAATAATAAACATTTCAAAGGTGCAAAATAATAAGAGATCAACTCAAAACTTGTCCAGAATTGCCTAAATGTCTTAAAATAAAAAAAATGTTCTGCCCCTCTTCGCAGGTTTGGTCTATTAGACGAGGCTGAAGTGGACAATCGGAAACCCCCAAACTACAAGTCTTTATTAAATAAAACGGATTTTATATAAATTATTAATAATTTAAAACTATCATTACAAAATTTTAAAAAAATTATTGATTTCTGCTGGGTATTTAAAAAAATTGTACCTTTTGATCATTTTCTTATCTAAGCATTTTCATAAATTAAATGAAAATCACATGAAAACTGTCTGTTTTCTTACTTGGATTATATAACATTGTTGTTATAATGATTAAATTTAATTATAATGTGTGGTGATTAGTGACCATTAATCGATATTTATTTAGAAATCGTGAGATGCGGTCAGGTGTGATGTAGGTTTCAGAAAAACATTTTCCTTATCGTGCCAACGTTTCGATCTTTATTGAGATCACCTTCAGGGCCTGGGATTTACAAACATTGTTTACATATTACAATTACATTTTGGATGTGAAAAAGTGAATTTATACAATGCAAAATATATTTTTTATATATTCAATCAAAGTATTTCTACTCACTCAAAGTGTTTGTCTTCTGTGTAATTGTGCCATTCTTGCGTGTCGTGTCGAGAGTGCCAGTGAGATTATGCTATTTTGTATTTATATATGTTGGATTTTGAAGGGGTGGGGAAGGATGTTGGTATAGAAAACAAAAATGTCTTTTCTATACCAACATCCTTCCCCACCCCTTCAAAATCCAACGTATATAAATACAAAATAGCAAAATCTCACTGGCACTCTCGACACGACACGCAAGAATGGCACAATTACACAGAAGACAAACACTTTGAGTGAGTAGAAATACTTTGATTGAATATATAAAAAATATATTTTGCATTGTATAAATTCACTTTTTCACATCCAAAATGTAATTGTAATATGTAAACAATGTTTGTAAATCCCAGGCCCTGAAGATGATCTCAATAAAGATCGAAACGTTGGCACGATAAAAAAAATGTTTTTCTGAAACCTACATCACACCAGACCGCATCTCACGATTTCTAAATAAATAATATTTATAATTTTAATTTATTCATGTTAACAACTTAACGATACTTTCTTCTTGAAATAGTTATTTAAATAAGAAGAATTGTATCTACTTATCAAATATAAAACGAAAAGATTCTAATATCACAAGGGATGATGCAATTGAACTTCCTCCCAATAAAAATGTTAATCATTAGATAAATAGCAACATTTAATTAATCAATGAGTCACATAAATAATAAATACGAAATGTGCTACACCTACAACTGTTTAATTAATACTTATGATAAAAAATTATTAAGATAATATAGTAAAAATAAAATAAAAATTACTTAGGGATTGAATAAATAATAATGATCTCCCAATGTGTCAGACTGGGTGAAAACCATTATAGTCAACTTTGTCCGTTTGTTTATGCTTAACGCTTGACAGTAACCACGGTCACCATGGCAGGAATGGCCATGCCACTTTTCACAATTCATTTAAAACAGAAAATCCTGCCTGGCAGAGTGACCATTGGCAAATATGATGGATCGCACAGCTGTATCACAGCAGCGACCACGGGCGACAAAGTAAACCGTTTGTTTTTAGAAAATCAAATTTTTATTGAAAAACTTAATTTTCAGGTTTTGGTACACAGCCCGCACCTGAGAAATAAAGATACATCAATACTCAATATAAACCAAGCTGTGACCTCAGTGTGTGCCGGTCGGTTAAACCCAAATGAAGATAAAGACATATTGCTCGTTGGAACGCCCAGCACTCTTTTGGCCTATCACGTTGAAAACAATACTGACCTTTTTTACAAAGAAGTATATCTTGAAGTCTTTTTAATAATGAAGTCTCGAAGTCTTGCCATGTTAAATATTTTTTTTGTCAGGTTCCAGATGGTGCCAATTCCATAACTATTGGCAAAATAGGCAGCTATGACATCCCTTTGGCAATAGTCGGTGGTAACTGTTCTATCCAGGGCTTTGACTGGGAAGGAAATGATCCTTACTGGACTGTGACTGGCGATAACGTGAGATCTCTTACTATTTTAGACATTGACAGCGATGGTCAAAATGAGGTACCGTTATTATTTTAGCAGATAGAATATAAAATTATATATTATAATGTTGTAGTTTGTTGTGTTGGTTTTGTCTGTTGTGTCCATGATTTTGCCAGCCATTATGTTCTACTAAAAACATCAGATAGATCAATGAAGATGGTGGTCTGACACACCAAGATGGTCAGAAATGATCAAGCTTATATTTTATTCCAATTAATTATACTTTTTATATAAGGCCTTGGTTGAGATGAAAAAGCAAGTGTCAAGAGCAGGATTTGAACCCACGACCTTTAATGCTGCTGCTCTAACCACTTGAGCTATCATAACTTCGATCCACTTGGACACTAAATCCTCATCTCAACCTACAATTTTTCGAATTTTCCCTCTTTTTGCCATATTTTCATGGCACTTATGTTTTTTATCTCTTTGAAGATCTCACCACATTTCAAAATTATGATATACATATGTACGTTTGAAATTGTAAACAAGTGAACAAATTATTTTATTTGTTAACACAAAATAATCATTACGTTAAAACAACTTAAGTTTAATATATATTTACAACTTCACACTTGAACTTTTTAAAAGTAGAATTATAAATGTAATCATGTGTTTATTTAGTTAAAGAAAAAAAAGAGGCCTGTTTTAATAAATGAGATAAAGTTTTTGTAAAAAGTTCCAAACCGATCATGATAAAGAGAAAGATGGCGAACAAAAATTTCCAAACATTCGACTATCAGAATTTCAATATAGAAGATTATTTGGATTTAGACAGTGACCTTCATTTCCCATCAAGCGAAGACGAGGATGACGGCAGTGCCGCTAATGATGTCAAGATGCGTCTTGATCACATGGAAACAGCATTGGACTGTATATCTGACAGTTTTAAGAATATAGAAACAATGCTGGCCAATGTCAGCAACACGATGGCCAAAGCTTCAAAATGGAGGAAAAACCATGATGACTCATTGGTCAAGAACAGACAAAATTTAATCCATGAATAATAGCCCTAAAAAACATTGATTTTTTTATTTTTATAATATTCGGTAAAATATCGATAATAAATTTAAAAAACATATATGAATTATTTATACTTTCTATAATTTAATATAGAGAGAGCTCATTTATTCAATCCATAGATATTCTAAATATTTTCAATTTGATTTCAACAAATTTAGTTTGCTGGAATAGTTCATATTTTTGTGGTCTAAACTATGGAAGGAACAATAAATAAACCTTTTTTATTGTTATTGATTTTCCTTTAGTTTTTTCTTCTTCTTTTCCTTCTCTTTCTTCCTCTTCTACCTCTTCTTCTTTCATATCATAGTCATTTAACCGGTCCTATTTAGAGCAAAGGCCTCTCCCTTTTCCCTCCAAGCTGTCTTATCTCTTGTGAGTTTTCGCCATGAACCTCCAGCAAACTCCCGAAAATCGTCTTCCCATCGTTTCTGTGGTCTTCTCCTAGTGGATAAGTGTGGTGTCCAATTGGTTGCCTTTTTGGTCCATTTACCGTCTGGAGAACGAATCACATGACCTGCCCAATTCCACTTCATTAGTCTAATTTTCACAGTTACGTCTTTTGCATTTGTTTTCTTTTGGAAGGAACAGTAAAACATGCAAAATTTACAAATACATTAAGGCAGACTTGTAAAGGCAATATACACATATTAAGAATTTTGGTTTTTAGTTGATTGTAGGCTCTGATGATTTTGACTTGAGGGTTTTTAAAGATGATGCATTGGTGCATGAGTTGTCTGAAACTGAAGCCATTACAACTCTTGTGGCACTACGTGACAAAAAGTTTGCATATTCTTTGGCCAACGGGACGGTCGGTGTTTACGACAAGCTCAATCGTACTTGGAGGGTTAAAGTAAATATTTCAAAAGTAATTTTAAAAAATTCATTATTTACAGTAATGATTTCAGTCAAAAAATGCCCCTGTGTGCCTTGCCAGTTATGATATCGATGGAGATGGAATCCCCGAGTTGATCACTGGCTGGTCAAATGGAAAAGTGGACGCCAGGAACATTAAAACAGGGGACGTCGTTTTTCATGATATCCTTCCCCACGGGATCGCTGGGATTGTCGTAGGTGATTATACTATGAGCGGAAAGCCCCAGTTAATAGTCTGCTCAACTCATGGAGAAAGTAAAAAAAAGTATTTATTTTTATCGCATCAGAAAAATTTTTTTTATAAATTTATTTTCAGTACGAGGGTATGACTCGACAAGCCTGAATAAAGATACAGTTCAATATGGCGATGTGATCAGAGATTTGATGAGTAAAAAGCAAATGTTAATGTCAGAATTAAGGAATTATTCAGCAGATCCTTCAGGGACTGGAATACCGGTGAATTTTTTCAAAAATAAATTTTCGGTTCAGTTGCTAATTTAAATTTTTCATTTATTTATATTTTTAAGGCAAATACTAGGCTTCTAACTGACATTAGTGTGAGTCCAGGAACAAAACTTAATCCAGTAAGATTAGTAAAAACATGAAAAGTGTAATGGAAATTTAAATAATGTTGATATGTAAAATTTATATTTTTAGGGAGGTCATGTTGTCATATCATTGTCAACTAACAATCTCACAGTGATTAGATCGGCGACTGTTTTTGCTGAAGGCATTTTTGACGGTGAAATTTTCGTTATGCATCCACCTTTGGCCCAAGTTACAAACAATCTAGATATTCCTCTTGTTCCTCCGAAAGACACACCACTGGATATTCACATAAAGGTGGGAACTAGTGGATTTTTGGTCGGTAGTTTGAAACTTTAATATGTATATTACAGGCTTTCGTTGGTTCAAGTGCAAACATAACACAGTTTCACGTGTTTGAAGTAACAAGGCAGCTACCTAGATTTTCCATGTACGATGTGGCATCACCTTCATCAAGCACTATACCTGATAGCTACGTAACATTCCGTTTTAATGAAAGAGCATCACGAGTATGACATATTTATACATAAAAAAATAATTAAATTATAAATCTTTCATTAAATATTATAGCTTGAAACGTGGCAAAACACAAATTTTTTGGTGACATCTTCTATACTTGAAAGAGCAGGTGAAGGTTCAAGTAGAGCAGAATGGAATATATTTCTCACCTCACTGAGAGATGGGTCAAGCCTACAGTTGAAATGTGAATCTGGAAATATGACAATTTTCACACCACATATATCCGTCGCTGCTGATATAGTACAATCACTTGCTCAATTTTTTGATATAGATGATTTACAAGTAAGAAAAAATAGTGTATTTTTATGATGAACCTTCTACATTTAAATTTGTTTTAGTCTACTGCAGAGTTTCCCTTAGTATATACCAGTTTAAGGGATAATCTAACAAAAGCCGATGACCTACAGCAGAATGCTACAAAAATGTCAGCAACCGTGGCCGACACAGCAAACCTCATCAGAGGGCTAATTGTTCAAGCAGAAGACTCTCGACTTTTGATGTATATGTAAGTCTGTTTCAAATGCTTTTTCAATTTTTTTTTTTAAATCATAAATTGTAAAAGTGACTTTTCAAAAGAAAACTTAATTACTGGACAAAAGCACCAAGTATGAGGCAAGCTAAGAGATTTATAAATCTCTCGACAAGGAAGGTGAACTCCTCGCAGTAGGCAAAGTTTGAGAAAAATTATAGGCCCATTTAGTCTATACTGACCACTTCCATCTTAACTGAGGAAGAAAGCAAAACAGGCAGAAATATCTGTCTTATCTTGTCATGTCTTTTGTGACTATGAGGCACAGTCTGTATACGGTAGCCACTTTGGTAAGTCTCACACCAAGAGAAGTGTATGACAACACACTAAGGAAAGTGTTTAATTTGTTGTGAAAAGGTACAATAATGATCTTCTGTGAGCCAGTAAAAATTTCCTTACAGAAAAAAAAAAAAAAATAGGAATTCATCGGACATGTGGAACCAGAAAAAAACAGGTGGAGAAGCTCACTGATCCACCACTGAAGATAGCAAAATGTCAAAACATAGATACAAAAAGTTACTACATTCCAGTTATTTGTGCAAAACAACTAGCAAAAATCTTAGCTAAAATTCTTTTATAAGTATGGTATTTAGATTATCGTCCAACCAAACATAACAGGGCGTATTGTCACTTTGGTGGGAAAATTTCCATTAAGAAAATGCTTCCCCCCCCCAAAAAAAATAAAATCTTTCAGGTTGTCTTATAAAATGGGTGCTTATAAAATATTAAAATCTTTATTCGAATTATACAATATTATACAGAAAAAAAGCTTACATCAATCATGTTTAAAAATGTGTATATACATGTCTTTGAGGCCATATATGGTGTCATACCATTATAAACTCATTCAGTATCTTCAATAAACATATCAAGGCAAAATGTACCAGCCAGGCGGCACTGAAGGCAATTGCTGCATCGACAGTAAAGTCTAGAGTCGTTTGGGACTGCATTAGAGCCCTGTCAGACATTGGAGAAGATAACAAAATTACCCTTGTCTGGGTGCCAGGGCACACAGGGCAGAGAGAATGAAGAGGTTGATAAATTGGCCAAGGAAAGTTCAATGACACCTATTCAAACCCTTTTTTGGCTTAGCACTACCAAAAACACGGATCCATTGGACCTCCGCTCAATCGGAATGTAGCCCAGGACAGAGGCATGCGAAAACTATTATGAAAGGGCCATCACAGAAACTAACAGCAAACTACTAAACGTAGAATGTGCTAGGACAATAATTATCGGACTGCTAACTGGACACTGCAGAGTCCGGAGGCACATAGACTCGGAGTGACAGAAACAAGCCTGTGCAGATGTTGCCAAGAAGAAGAAGAAACAGAGGAGCATGTCCTCTGTTAGTGCGAAGCCCTAAATCGTGGGAGAGGAAAATCCAGGGCCTGAAGGATACACACGGGAGTCCTTGGTAAAACTTTGGGGTCTGGCTCAAAAAGCATTAAGCTTAATGATTAAGATATCTAGATATTTAGATTAAAAAAATGGAGATGCACAATAAACCAATACTCGTCGCAGTGCACAGGTCGTAAAGAGGCCGGCTCCTGTATAATAATAATAACTGTGTAGAATGTTCTGACATTGGGCCTAGGTACAGGAGTGCTCTATATCTTTTTGGTCTAGGAGTCTGTCTAGGAAAAATTAGGACTCTGGTCATGATAGATTCTTTCTGTAAAATTAATTTGTCTATTAGGTGGTTGTCGCATCCGTTGTTTTAGCGACTGACTTGATGGCATTTATTTGCCTATTATGGAAAAGACTATTTATTTCCTACTCATCATGTACAGGAGCTGGGGTCTTCGGGATGAACCCAAGATCGAATTGATGCTACAGTTTTCCAGTCTACAATCACAGCAATTTAACAATGCACTAGAGAAATAAAAAGGCTAGGAATAAATTTTCGGAAGATAGCCATTTTCTATGACAGCACTTAGGGCCTTAGCCTCATGCGAGGTGAAGTCAAAGGGTGTTTGGAACTGCATGGAGGCCCTGACGGAAGTTATTGACACTAACGACCTGACCCTGGCATGGGTCCCTGGACATTCGGGGCTAGAGGCAACGAAAAAGTTGACATGTTGGCCAAAAAGGGAGCATGTGGACTCTCTGGGCCCACAACCCTACTGTGGCTTAGCAGCCTGCCACAAAAGAGGATACATCTTAAAATGGATCCTTAATGAGTCTAAAACCTGATGGAACAATACCACAGGTATAAGGCATGCAAAGAGATTCATAGAAAGACCATCCGCAAAACTTCCAAAAAATTACTGGAAGACAACCACAACCGAACCAGGATTCTGGTTGGACTCCTGACAGGGCACTGCTACCGGATAGGAGTACAGACAAAAGAAACACTGTAGATACTGCCAGGAAGAGGAGGAGACCGCAGAACACATTTTATGTTTTTTTGAAGGTCTATGTAGAGGCAGGTTCTTGCAACTAGGAAAGAAAAACCATAAGCAAGATCCGACACCAAGAAGCCGCTGGCAAAGCTGTGGAGGCTAGCTAATAACCTGAAGCTCAGTGAGTTGTAAATAACAGGGGAGCACAATTTTCAAGTCGAGGTGCAGTAGGCCTTATGGCCGTCTCTTTTTTCCCTGTCGCTATCCATTTACTCATCATCGTACCTGTAGGTACTCCAACAGAAGTCTTAGTAGTTTTGGTTGCATGAAAACCCACAGCTAAACTTGAAATGGTGTATAATTATATTTTTTCTGTAATATAGACATATTATTACAATGTAAAAGGAGTTAAGTGTACTCAAAATTTTTCTGAAAATATACGATATTATCGGGTTGTCATGTCAATGTTTGTCAAGAAAGCAGTAGAATTTAGACGTTGGTGCGTGACAACCCACAGAGTAGGTTACGTGTCAGGTTTGAACTGTCAAAATTCCCCATGTGGTCGAGATTCGTACGCTACAGAACCGTATTAAACGTCGGAAAATTATTATCCGGTGTCTCGGTTCGAACTAGGATCGTTTTTACACCCGAAACACGTTATTTCCGTCCATCCCGTCGTCTATTGGGCACCGCCCAGGGCGAAGTGAACAGTGTCGAGTTCGAGCGAGTCTGCAACGAGACCCTAGAATCGCTCTGCGACTTCTTCGAGGTTTTGGTCGAGTCGCGCGAACAGCTGCGAGGCGGCGATGTGACTTACAGCGACGGAGTGCTCACAGTCGCCCTCGGAAACAACGGCACTTACGTTATCAACCGGCAGACACCGAATAAGCAGATCTGGCTCAGTTCGCCTTCTTCGGGGCCGAAGCGCTACGATTTCGATCCACAGAGGAACACGTGGGTCTACAAACATGACAACATACCCTTGCACACACTCCTCAAACAAGAACTTTCCATCATCCTCAATGATAACATAGACCTCTCAATGTGCACATACTCGGAAAAAACGCTTTAGCACCAAATTAGACAAATCATAAATAAAATAATAGATTTTATTATTAATATCAACATAATTTGCTGATATAGTTAAATGTTTTATGTAACAGTGTTATCTGTTTGAAAATACACAATTGGCAGATACATCTTGCATTATTCAGTATATACCAAGGGTGGGCTTGGTTCTTAAAATGAAATGTACTGTAAAATACAAAAAAAAAATAATTACAACAAACAGTTTAAAATTTAATCAATGTTACATATATTCTAATGAGAGCCCACTATGGTATATACTCATGGTGAGAAAAAAAAAAATGTTTCGGATTGTTAATAATGATTTAACATGTAAAGTTGTATAGTTATGGGAAATTTCCTCATTATCTTAAAGACTGAATTGATGTAATATAAGAAATATAATTTATAAGCTAATATTGAGAGGTACAGTTGTACCTTTGGTTTTTTTTCCACTTTATTTATAAGTATGTTCTTTGATCATCCTTTTCTGTTTATTTTATTTATTTTTAACGGAACAACACCCATACTTATATATCTGAAAAGAATGGCGGCAAATGAGAAATAAAGCATTCTAAAGAAGTTACATATTAGGGAGTTTTTCTTGAACAAACATGGAGTGCCTGCCTTAAGATAGAGCATTACTGACAAATGAATATAGTAAAGACTCAGTGGACTAAATCATAAAATGACCTTACATTTGTCAGATCTATGGTCACTTATGCAAGTTACACGTGACATAAACCAGAACAAAGAAAGACAGGAAATTCTTCAAAAAAATCCAAAAAATTACACATTGAGCATCATAAGTGCTGATAAAACAACACCCACAGCTGCAAAGGAATAAATACATAATACATGTGAAAAAGAGGAACTGAATTCATCGAACAGTGGAAAGAAAGCATCAAACAAGTGCTAACCATGTCAAAATCTTCAACAAAGATAAAATAGCAGACATGGCTAAAACTATCTCTGACTTTGAAAAAATAGTAGACTTTGAAATAACCTACAAAATAATTGTAGGTTAGGGGCGTGAATATAACACCCCTCAAAGGGAGCAATTGTGCTATTCACCATTAAAAGAAGCTCAATCTTACATCTCTAACCCTCTGAAACCAAGAAATAAAACATTACAAAAAAGTTATATAGCTAGGATTACCGTCGACCGGTCAATGTGGAATGCCACCTTAAGAGAACCTATAGGTTATTGTACTCTGTGAACTACATTGTAAAATGACCTTATTGTTGACGTGCTCACTTATACAAGTTACTTACAGTGGCCAAAAATAAAATAAAGAATGGCAGGAAATTCCAACAAAAAAATCCAAAAAATTACATGCCTTAGCATCATCAGAGCTGATGAAACACCTACAGCTGCAAAGTATATTCAATCTGACACCTTTACCTATGTGCAAAGGAGGAACTGAGAATTTATAGGGCTGTAGAAAGATGGCATCTGACAATTGCTAGCCATAAAATCTTCAACCAAGTTAAATTATCGGACATGGTAAAAACAACAACCAGTCATAATAATCATTGAAAAGAGAAAGCAAAAGATTTGCCTGGAACTCTTATCTAGTTGGCTTGAAAATAGGAAATAGTACAATCTTTTGCCTTAACCTCAAGGGCCTTAACAACCATATTCTAAGCTCAAATGCTATCCGTAAAAATATGTGCACATAATATAAATAAACACCTCCAAGGTGCAACTCTCTTTAAAAAATAAAAATATAACTTTCTACAGGCAAACAAACTACACAAGAATACTAGATCGAAAGCTTACCTGGAAGAAGCGTATGGATAAAGCAACACAAAAAGCAAATGCTATAATAAGCATGAGCCAAAGGTTTTGCAGTAGAATGTAGTGTATAAATACACAAATAGCCTGCTAGCTGTATACAAAAACGACTAGATCTTTGATCACATATGGAGTTTCAGCATGGTGGCCAAAACCTTAGAAAAGAAAACATAGGCTCATTTAAAGAATTTACAAAGACTGGCATGCCTTAACATTGCATACTGTCTTCATTTCAGCACTAAGATTGCCACCTTTGCATACATACATCCAAAGGATGGCAAATGGAAAGTGCAAATAGATTCTTAGAACAAAAATTAAAATCTAACCTAAAATTCTTAAGAAAAGACTTAGACAGCCAAGCAGCATTGAAGGCAATTAAATCTATCCACTTTCATTCAGAGCTGATTTTGGAGTGCCTATTGGAGTGCTCTGGGGAAACGTAATCAGGTGACTCTAATGGGGTCTCCAGGACATGACAGGATTGTGGGAAATGAACAGGCTGACAACCTAGGAAAGGCGGGAGCAGCCCTCACACCCTTTGGACCAGAACGGAAATTTGGCACACCCAAAGCATGTTAAGAGCAGAAGTGAACAAATGGACGGAGAAAGAAATGACCAAACACTGGATAAATTCACAAGTGCAAAACAAACCAATAATTTTATTAACATCTCAACCAGAAAAACAAAAATCTTCCTCTCTCCAAGAAACTACGAAAAATTGTCTTAATACTCTTTAATTACCGATTGACATATGTACCACATTTCTTGGATTTCTTTCTTAACCTAGCACTTTTCTATTCCCTCAGAACAGGGTATAACCGCATCCTCACTTGGTAATTAAGTCCAACCAGTACACCTACATATTAAGTCCCATTTTTCATTATTTTTTATTTATAGTATGTTCTTTGATCATTCCTTTCTGTTTACTATCATCAGTTTTGTACTGTAAAATGCATATTGCATATATTATGTCTTAGCGACAGACAAAGCCAAGGAGAATAGAATGAAAAATTAAGAGGTTCCTCATTTTGCAGGCCTCACCACCATATAGCTTTACATTCCCAAAAAATAAATCTTTATTTATTTAACATTTTTTAACAGACTATTCACACAAAAAATATGTGCTACACATATTTTAATGACCTTGTGAAGTGATATAATAATCAATATCACAGGATAATCATTTTACAATATTACATGCTTTTTGTAAAGTCTGGGCTCTTGTATAGTTAGTTTTTCAGTATAGGCATCTAAAATATTTGTTTTAACCTGGTATTTAATTTGTCTTCTGATTTTACCTTGTGGAACCAAAATAATAAATATATGTAGTGGATTGGCCATAGGGCAGAATATATAATAGAAAATGCATCTCGGTATATGAATATTTTATATTTTAAATCTAATAAATAAAATAAAAAATAAAATATATCTGAGTTTGGCTGAGAGCAGTCTTGCTTTTCTTTAATTTGCAGTAGCAATTGTTGACAGTTTGGTGTTGATGTGACTCAATAATCTAGATTTTAAATCCAAACATACTTGAAGAATGATGCTTTTTATATTTTACAAAGTACATTTCATAATTTTTTTCCATTTTAAAACCAAAAACCTAAATCTGATTACATACATAGCTTTTAATTAGCTAAGGTTTGTGTTTATATTTTTAAGGAAGGATTTGAGAGAGTGTTACAGTCAATTGCAGCAGGTCAATAGCGATTTGTTGAGGAATTATGCACTGAGGAGTGCTAATAACAACGAACTTTTATTGACCCTGAGGAACATAAATTCTGTAATACAGCATGCATCCAGACTCAGAGGTACGCTTGACATTATAACAACTCGATTGAAGAGTAAACATTTTTTTCTTCCTTTCTAGTCGGAAAATACAAAAATGAAATAATAAGCCTATGTAGAAATGCTGTGGCAACTAAAAATCTGAACATGCTGATAAAAGTGATCAAGACCGGAGAGGCCTAAATTTTTTTTATAGAAGGGATTGAGGAATATATTTATAACAAATTGTTAGTTTAATTTATTGAAATAATTACACTAAACTGCACAAAAATGAATAGGGATATTTATTCTTATTCGATTAAATTTAATTAAAATAACTGATATATTCTTGTTGGATAAAACAAAATAGAAAAAAAATTGTTAATCCTTATTTTTAAATAAATAATTTATTTAAGAATAGTAATCACAAAAATTACTAATTTTGTAGATAAACACCTTTTATCGCCTTTTCTCCATTTTAATCCAGTTTTATTCTCTTTGACCATGGAAATACATCATCTTGAACCAGAAGTTCACAATATTATTGTGAGAATGAGACATCGTCACTGACAAGTGGATATCGCAGAGGCAGTTGGTGTTTTTCAGGGGGGGGGGTGTATCTCAGCGCGTTAAGATGCTAAGGGAGAATAGAAATATTGTCATTGCTGCAAGACGGAACCCTTCCTTCCATAGTGACCACCAGATCCTAAATGAAGTACAAGATGTTTTGACAAGTATGGTATTAAAACATAGGTAAGTACAATAAAGAAGATTTTTCAGCATGTAATTCAACATTCCATCCAGGCCAGGTCTTCTTTTCATTTCCTAAAAATAACTTTTTGTCAATACAAAAAAAAAAAAAAAAAAAAAAAAAGCGTTTCTCCATGTGCTTCTCCCAGTCTCTCTTTAAGATATTTTCAGAAGTTTCTTGACTCATGGTGTATTTTTCCCAGTTGGTCTTTCTAATCGCATAGACCAGTCAATCAGAACAGGCTGTCTTGATGAATGTTTCCTCTGTCCCTGCCTCTTTCAGGGAGTTCAGATTTAACCCTTTCCATAATGCATACTTAACTTTTTTTTTTTTTTTTTTTTTTTTCAAAAAATAAGGCTAAAGAGGTGTAATGTGAGGAGCAAAAAATCAGCCGGTGAATGCTGACCAAACTTCTCGTTTTTCTAGGCTCATGTCATCTTTTTCGAATCTGTTGAACCACCCGAACAATTCGAGCAGTTTCCTCTGCTTCCAATTGAACCACCATGTGTGGCCTCAACAGTGGTAAACTTCCGCTTACAGTAACTGTAAACAAAATTTTGTACTCGACAGACATTATTATTAATCAATATTGGACACAAACTGATAATAATGAATAAGTCTGAGATGTAATGTTTACTAAATGAATCATGATGGTCAAAGGATTAAAACAATATCAGTAAGGCATAAAATGATTTTAAAAATAAATAGATAATTGAAAAAGTGAAAACTGTTATTTTTATTGACTCACTCCAATATATATTTCTACTATTGTACTTGTTTTTCCACAAGGAAAAAATAAATTTTCGTAAGCCCTGTTGTTTGTAGAAGAAGGAAGGATTGGGTAGAAAATAATAACAATAATGCCTTATTCACCTATTTTATTTCCAAATCAAATATTAGAATTAACAATATTATTAATTGAACAAGGTACACTTTTTCATAAATGTGTGATGAACAATCCATTTTGGAGATAATAACAAAGTTATTATAATCAAATAGCAGATGTGTGAGCAAATTGCAAAAGCAGAGGAAATACTGAATGAGGCTATAAATGTTTAATTTTTGGTTTGTTAAATTGACAATTTGAAGGCTTTAAAATTTTTTTTATTAAGAAACACATTTGTGCGCTTAGCGTAAGAGAGTCAAAGCATAAAATCTGAGGTTTCAAACTGCCCTATTGGTTTTATATATTATATTACTTATTTTCATCTTTGAAAAATTGATTGCGTGAGCAAGAAATACGAAAGATAGTGAACTGTTTGTTCTCTGCTTATGCGTAATCGGCAATCGTGGAAGAACTTGGATCAATTTTAATAGCCCTCATCTGACCAGGTTATTTCATAGTCCTTGTAGACGGTCTTGAGGATTGACACAGTTATCTGGTGGTCTGCTTTCCCGAAACCCTAAAACACCAAAAAACACAAGATGTAAACAAAACTACTGTCTAAAAATAATAAAATTAATTATTAATAAATAGTAACTAATTATTATAAATTATGATCTTTATATTGCAATGATTTGACGGTGATGATATACAATTAGTTTTTGTTCCCTTTCTTCTTGAATTTCTTCAATTCTTGAAAAGACAATTATTGTAAGAATCATTTCTTATACAGTTTGCTACTATAGGAAACCAAGCATAATACTGAGGCAATAGTTGTATGCATGTGTAGACTTGCTGTACAAGATAATCGAACTTGAAGGTGTGATTGCGTCATGATCTGAGATGGTAAAATATCTTGGGGTGATAACGGACATAAACTCACTTTTACTCATCCATGTTAATAATGAAGTGGCTATTTTTGTACTTTCCCCTCTTCTCTGTCACTGGCCAAAAACTTCTGCAGTAAAAGCAGTGATCTGGCTGATGCTGCTGTGTGCGTACCTGTCCTGGTGCATCACTCGCAGGACTAATGTCGCCAGGTAGTGCAGAACAAATTTCTGCTGCCAAAAATGTGTCTATAGTTTGGACGGCAAGTATGTCCACAGGAGAGTTCTATAATTTGCCTACAATAGCTGGGGTTTTAGTGGAGGAAAGGACTGTCATAATTCAAGCAACAGCATCAACTCCAATCCGATCAAAAAAGTTTATAAAAAAAATAAAAATCAGGAAATACTCCCAGCCCTGAGGGAATTACGGTAGAAAATATCACCGTCCTATTCATGTGGATTCTGGGTCATTTTGACAAGCTGAGAGAAATTAAGGAAGATGTAAAACAAGGGTCCACCATCACTCAAACCTCCTGAAAGGAAGAAACGGTCCTAGCTCGCCTCAGAATAGGTCATTGCAGACTCATGCATGGTTTTCTCATGGCGAGAGAGCTCTACCAATCTGCCAAGGTAGACAGGAACCGCTAACAGTCAAACATATTCTTACTGTCTGTACTTGAATTGAGCTGGAAAGGAGCGCATGTGGTGTTTCAGATAGTTTGCTTGACAGATGATGGACACAAGGTAGAAAAACTTTTCAATTTCTTGAGGATGTCTGGTCTGCTCTCTAAAATTTAGAAGATGAGGCATGAATTGGGGTGGTGGCTGAGGTCTCATGGTGAGAGAGCCTCCACCGATCTGCCAAGGTTGTCAGGAACCACTAACATTCAAACATATTCTTACTGTCTGTACTTGAATTGAGCTGGAAAGGAGGGCATGTGGTGTTTTAGATAGTTTTCTTGACAGATGATGAACACAGGGTAGAAAAACTTTTCAATTTCTTAAGGAATGTCTGGTCTGCTCTCTAAAATTTAGAAGGCATGAATGGGCGTGGTGGCTGAGGTCGATGGCTATGGCGGGCCTGACGGGGCCTTATTGTTCATGCTGGTGGTTTCTGTTCATCGCCACCCTAAATATATTTCTGTTCAAGGATGATTCTGACCCTTAATGGTTGCTTGCCTTTATTAAATAAAAAAATTAGAATAAAATAAATAAAATAAAATTTCTGTTCTGTTTGGCACAAGCAATGAAATAATTAGATTTTAAAATTGTTGAGGATTGTAAGGTCATATCTTTTACACCGAGAGGCAAAAAGTGGCCACCTTTTTTTTAAGTAAATACTTGCAATCGTTATAATTTGTATTTTTTTTTTTACTATTTGCTAGGATAATATTTATTTGTGTAGCTCCTTCAACATGATGATGAGCATTTAATGCTTGAAATCCGGATCATTGTAAACAACAAATATGTGAGTAGAATCATCATTTACAAAAAGTTAATCTTCAAACTCATCCCAGCTTCATTATTTCTATGAAGCAAGGAGATGATCGTTCTTCCTCACTCATCACTGGGAGTGACTTTGTCTATGAACTAACAAAATAAAATAAAAAATGTTCTACGAATATTATACGCAGAATATTATGATTTAGTATTATTTAAAAAGATAAATAAACGAAATACCGTTTTTTTTGTACATTTTAACAAATATTCTTTGAGCAAAGTAGGTCAGAAAATGGTCAAAACTTGGATTCTGGAAACTTGGACTTTCGCGGAAACTGGTGTAAATTAATTTTTTGACTGATAATTTCGTCCACCTTCTGCGTGACTGACATTCCTAGTGCAAAATAAGTAGTAATTAAGTAAGTCCTCAAAACCTAGGAAATCGATTTTCAAGGTTGATAATTATTCAATTAATTAAGGTTTTAAGTTGAGATTAATTGAATTGTATTGATTGGTCAAGCGGACCACTAAAAATAGTGAATAATTATTTTTAAAGGAATTGTCAAGTGCATTTTATGACTGTATCAAACATTAAAATCCGACTATTATTTCCATTTAAAAAAACGAAGTTAATTTTTAACAAATAATTTTCCTACTTTGAGTATTTTCTTATAGAAATCTTTTGTATATTTTTATGCAATTTACGTTGTTTAAAAGCTACATTCCTCTTCTTTCAAATGCTATGTTTGACGTTAAAATCCTATTAGCCATTTTTGAATTATAGCCGTTTCAATCAGATATTCCGATAACCACTTTTAAAAAGCAGAAATATTTTCGGGGTCAAAAAATCGATAAATTTAAATTCAAACAAAAATTTATATTTAGGGGTTCTCTAGAAGTGTTAAAACGAAATTTCATATTAGTTTTAAGAAAAAACATTTGTGCCCTAGTTTTCTTGAAAAAAAGTAGGTTTTTTAAATTTTTTGGTTATTGATAAACTTTGATAGCTTTTATTATATTTTTATTTCAATCATCATAAAAAATTCTGTAAAATGATATATGTATTCATATACTGAATTGAGCAATTAGAACGGCGTAACAAAAATATTAAAAAACGGTAAATTTCCACGTTCAAAAAAAATTTTTTTTGACGAACCAGGGCCTATTCACAAGAAATGGCGTATACGTGTCCGATATTTTGGAGTGTAGAATCACTAAAAAAAGTCTGGCCCAAACCCGTGACACACCGACCTGGTCGGATAATGAATCTATGGTGATGAGCTGGTCGTCCAACTGGATTGCCTGAATGGGCTACCATGTCGCAGCATAAAAGCAAGTCGTCGAGCACCTCATTTGCAGTAATAACATGTAGCATTTTTTTTTTTACCGGAATCAAACAAATATTTTAATGATACTATGACTAATACGCAAGACCAAAAAGAAATCTTTCAATTTTTACCAAGTTCGTTTTAATTAGAAAATTAAGAAAATTGCACCAGAGTCCATTTAAAAGAAGATAGTGCATTGGTTTTCCCATGGTGCGTTGAAAAAGCACCACTATGTACATACACTGTCCATTTAAAAAAACCTAGTTTTTGCACGAAAAAACGGCCAATTTTGAAAATCCATATTTTCTCGCCTTTTAAGTGACACAGACCTGACCGGTGCCAAAGGTTAATTTTCAATATGTTCAGTGCAGAAGAGATATTTGTCACTTTTTACAAAGAGGTTCTGCCATAATAATGTGCCAGAATCGTCCAGTCGCTTTTCTGATAAATCGTTATCGAGAATTCCAAAGAACCCAATAATAATCCTCAAAAAGAGTATAAAATGCCTACGTGGGATCTTGAATAATAGCAAAGTACATTGTCCCACAAGGCAGTACTACGGTTTTAACAGACGAAAAATACAATTTTTTCCAGTACAAATCGTTACAGATTCACGTGTAAAGATAATTGGCAATATTTTAAAATGCGAATCCATAGCAACCCTCCTTGTTGTAACCCTTTTCTTACGTGTTTAAATAAACAGAAAAGACAATTATTATTTTTTTTATTTATTTTCTTGATCGAGGGATGTAGAGGATATCTTGTAAACGCTTAGTTTATTCAGAACCGCTAAACATCGAGTTCACTGTGGAGATAGGCGTTGTATGTCTTGTTCTTTCTTGAAATGAATTTCTCGACAACGGACTGACATAGGTGAGCATTTGACCAGATTGGTTTATGTACTCTTCTGACATTTGAATATCGGAAAGTTCCTCGTCCTGCGAGCCGTTCATGTCGAAGAGAGGATCTTCGCCCACCATGTCCTGGATCTTCCAGTCGCTGGCAATCTGGTTCAGAGGTTCGAGTTTCTCTTTGACCGCGGCCATCCTGGCCATCTCCGCCTTGCAGAGATTATCGATTTCGAGGAGTTTCTGAATGTAGAGCGGCCTGTCGTCGGCCACGGGGTAAGTCTGGACCTCCTCTTGCCCGAAACCCTGTATGTTATCTGAGGAATCTGTGATTCCGAAGTGGTACTGCGTTGAGTTAGGGGCGAGGGTGAACGGCTGGACCGTCCTTCTCGGATGGGCATTAGACAAATCGATGCATCTCGACGGCTGGGCTGGTATATACGGCATACCCATTGACCTCGACCGCTTTTCCGTCTCCTCGCTTACCTTGAACAGACCCGACCTCTCTTTGTCCAGTCTTATCTTCAAATCCACCATGACCTGCTCAAGGGATTTGATCTTCTGGAGCAACTGATCTTGCCGTTCCACGTCAGTGAGCATCATAAACTCCTCTTCCGTAAATTGGTCCATTTTTGAATATGTTTAAAACTGGAATTTGTTCTTATGTTCTTGTTTTTTTTTTTAGGATTTAATTCAGGAACCTATTTAAATTATTGCATTTGAGTCAGATGTTTCTTCTGTATTAATTTTGAAACATCGCCTCTTTAAATTGCTGTTTCAGCTGACCGTTTAAATTTGTTTAATGGCATAGCAGAATTTCTAAACTACTATTAATAAAATATACTCAACAAAGTTTATAAGTTCACTAATTTCGTGGTCCGCTTGACCAATTAATACTTTACAATTAATTAAGGTTTTTAGTTGAGATAAAAAAGTCAATGGCACGAGCGGGATTCGAACCCACGATCTTCGGCTAGATACGCCGCTGCTCTACCACTTGAGCTATCGTGACCTCGATCCACTCGGACATCAACTTCCTCATGGGGGGGAACTCATAAGGTGGGGTTGAGATAGGAAGTTGATGTCCAAGTGGATAGAGGTCACGATAGCTCAAGTGGTAGAGCAGCGGCGTATCTAGCCGAAGATCGTGGGTTCGAATCCCGCTCGTGCCATTAACTTTTTTTCATCTCAACTAAAAACCTTAATTAATTGTAAAGTTTATAAGTTTATATTTTTCACTCTTACATAATAAACATTTCCCTCAGTTTTCTACTGTTGTTTTCAGATCACTTGATTTTTTTAAAATCTTTTTTAACGAGGTTATTTCAACTACGAGGTTATATGAACCCTCAGGGTGTCGATTGTTTTTTGAAAAAAGCCCATTTGTAAGCATGTCGGGTTCGAATGCAGGGCCGCTGGATTCGAACCCGGGACTTTTACAGTGATGAGCGCCGTCCCAACGCCTAAACCGTTGAGGCCACCGACGCTCCTGATAACTTGATTATGCAATGAGTCATTGCCTAGTAGTAGCACGATGACAAGCTCTCTTTTAATTTTATTTATTTGCTTTACTGACCCTTACCAACTTTGAGTTCCATTAGAAGTGTAAATTTTATTTTTCTCGGTATTGGAATTTTATTTGAGAAAGATTTGAAATAGTTATTCAGAAATCGTGAGATGCCGTCTGGTGTGATGTAGGTCTCAGAAAAACATTTTCTTTATCGTGCCGACGTTTCGATCTTTATTGAGATCATCTTCAGGGTCTTGTGTTGTCATCACACCAGACCGCATCTCACAATTTCTGAATAATTATCGACTTACGGTCACTAATCACCACACATTTGAAATAGTTTTGTAAAGTTGAAGACACCCAACACCAGTCGGACATACAGCCTCTATGGCAGGAATTGTTTTATTCTACAAGTTCTTCTCATATTTTCTATATCCTCTAATAGTTGTAAATTGTTAGTCCGTTGTTTCATACAATTGTTGGTCGTGAGTGCCTTACAAACATGGCAATAAAATAAATTAGGGCAGGTGAGGCATACTGGAAGTACGCACACTATCGGACATGTTAGAATACGCAGCAGTACCTCAGGAGTACATTTTTTCCTGAAGTTAAATTAATAGTTCCACTTCGATGAAATTTGATTTTGGTAAAACCTGTGAAGATTTGTTTTTAAAGTGATAGAATGAATTGTTAATTTTTGATTATTTAGGAGTGCTTAACCTCCCTGTAATGGTCTGTCTGATATGCCAAATTGATCTGAAACGACCGAATTATGGAGTTTTTTCTAATTTCAATTATCGTTAAATGAAAGGCATGTTAACACCTTGGCAGTTTTAGTGATCCTGTTATATATTATACATATTAACCGTGATCCCAATAAAAATATTAAGTTTATTATATTTTTATACAGAAAAAAAAAAGCAAGCCTATAATGAGTGGAAGATAATCTGACCACAGCGTCCTATTCATTTTGTGAGTTTTTGTTAGACAATGCTCTTTCCATATATTTTCTTCTTTGTTCGTTACTGCTCCCCCTTTCGAAACCTAAATTGTCGTAGAAAAAGTCGACGTCGCTTTTATAAGTCGGCCCCAATTTGGTGTCCTGCAAGTGCCAATCGCTGGCGATCTGGTTAAGAGGTTCGAGCTGTTCTTTGACGGCCGACACCCTCGCCATCTCCTCTTTGCACAGGTTGTCCAACTCCAAAAGCTTCTTCTGGATGTAGAATGGACGGTCGTTGGAGCTCAGAGGCCTCTCTTGGTAGTCCTCCTCGTCCATGTCTATTTCGCCGCAGTCACAGCCCGTTCTGCAAGAACAGGGACAGCATTCGACGTCTTGTTGGTTACAGTGATCTTGCTGGTTGTCAGACGTGCGTATGACTTTCTGCAGGACTGATTGCATCTTGGAGATTTTCTTTTCTAAAGACTGGATGTTGTTAAACAAAAGGTGCTGCCGTTCTAACTCGGGCAACTGGAAAAACTCAAGTGCTGAACAGTGGCTGACCATCTTGACAAATAAATCTTCGTTTTATATTAAAATTTTGATAAAAGTTTCCGGAATATTTACAATTTACAACAATTTTAATTTCAGATCCTAACAATAAATTTTCGTGCAGATGATTTTTTGTCTAGAAATTCTTTAATTACACAACCATATGCTGAAACCAATAAGATTAAATAGTTAAAAAAATTAATTATTCTTACCTGGGAATAACCGTAGACTTTAATATTTTTTTTGGCAGGGTCGTGCATGATTCTACCACCACCGAGGCACTCCAGGTCAAGATTAAGACCTGTTAAAGTCTGCACAGTTTTGTAGTAGATGTCGGCTGAAAAAAGTAAAACACAAGCATGATTTTTTTGAAAACAAAAAGCGCTAAAAGGGGCTTTTTCTTTTGAACTTTGCATGATACCGGGTCGTATGGGGAGTTGGAGACGGAGCGGAAGAATAAGGCAATCAGCTAAGTATACCCCTTCATCTAAGCCTTCATTTTCCCGCAACTTGTCAGATAAACATTTCCAATTGTACCACAAACTAGCCACAAGGGACTTCTTCTGGGCTTTGTTATTATTCAGAGGCCCTAAGAGAAAGAATCTCGCCTCGTCAGACATGTGCTCATGTTTGAGAGGAATCTCAACTTACTTGATTTTAAACTGTTGGCAATTGAGCAAGTCAAAAGCGGTTAAATTTTAATTACAGATTTATTATTTTAAAATATAATTTTTAGACCAAAACAGAGGAGGTAAAGGGTCAAAACCGTCTTTCACATATAATGACCAAATTTCTTTGTGTATATGGTTTATGATTTGATATGATTTGCCGGTCATATTTTCAGAGTTAATTTATGAGATTTTAAGATTTAATTTTGCTCTTTCAAACATGCTGTCCTAGAATGATTGACAAGAAAAAAATCTTGCTACTAACAATGTATAAATCCCAATACCGTCATTACAATCTGATGAACGATTCTGTCTTCTAAGAAGCAACCTCTAACCTCCAAAAACACCTTGGTTTTTTTCAAAGAGTGGTGGAAAATATACAACACATAGAAAATAGTCACGCCTTTCGCTGTACGACAAGGAGCTTCCGACTTCCAGTCCAGTCAGATACTTAGGACTGTACTTTAGTCATGGAATCTCAACACAATACCTAAGAGAAAACAGAAAACTTGGACAACTATGAAAGACCGAATTTGTTTTTACCATCAAGCCATCCAAAATCCAGCGCATCAAATCCTAATAAAAAATCGTCAGATATATTGTCAAAGCGCCTTACTATGACCCTAATCTTACTATCCCCAATGACCTCAACATTCCTTGTGATATCCGTGTAATTTATTTTTGAACCCGAAGATATTACAATGCTGTCTAGTAAGACTTGTGTCATTATAACTCGACATGATCGTCTCTTTAGACGACGAGAAGGGTTTAAGGGAATTCGTCGGGATGAGAGTTTTAGGATTTATGATGGTTGGGAGGGAACTGCGATAAAGGGAGGGTATTGCATCTTGGACAAACGGCCTATTTAGGTCTGTATGGGTAGTTTTGATGTGATAAAATGGAGCATCATGATTTTTCTTAAGATTAAGGTTTGGACAGTTTGGATGCAGCGGACGTTGGAATATTTGAACCCACACTTCCGTCTGTAAGTCCATATCGTCTTCATTGAGGTGTTATACAGTAGCTTTTTATTTTTGAGGTTAAGACAGAGTAATTATCAAGAAGTCAAGAAAAAGCCCTGTATCGTGTCATAACTGACGTTTTAGCCGTTTGTGGGGAGGGATTCCACGTCAAATGTAGGAATCTTTTTGGTGGAGTGTGGGGTTTAAAGTTGACGGTGAGTGTTGGTCTGCGAGTCGGTGAACACATGTCGAACCGGCACCGGGTTACTTACTCCCGCTCGTTTTCAGTGAGGAACTGTTTCTTACTTCAGATAGTTCCTCACCGAAGACGGTGCAAAGCCGAAACACGTTTAATTTAATAAAAAAAGTGTGAGATTTGCTGAAAGTTTCGAGTGGAAATGACACCATCAGATTTACTTGAAAGGATTACTGTATCGTCTGTAAAGGTTATGTGGTGGTTCGAGAATGGGATGGGATATCAATCCCATCAATCAAGGCTAATTAATACTATCATAAAATATTTTTTACCATTTGTACTATATTCTAGTAGGAAATGTATTTGTATACATTATATAGTGTACTACTATATTGGCCTCGCCCGTCTTTAAACAGAAATAAATAAAGTGTGGTGGCCAGAATACCAACATAGACAGGGAATTGCCTTCAATGACTCGGAAAAACCGTTCAGTGAGGTAGATATGAAGTATGAGATAGTAGATGGAAGGAAGGATGACCTTGAGTATGAGCAAGCCCGAGTGTAGAAGACGATCAAAAGCATGGCGTACGACAAAAAGGTCCCTGATCAGTGCTGTCCCAACTTAAGAATTAAGTTGTATGATGTAAGAAGTTCGGGGTGGATTAATATACTGCGCCCTTTGAGAGCTACTGTACCCTCCGTTCTGTATCTGTAGCAAAGTGGTGAGTCCTAGATCATAAAGGAAGTTGATTAGGCTCGGTATCAATGGTTGAATTTTTTATACCGTTAGAAATCCATAATACATACCAAAGCACTTTTTCTAAGGGTAAGTGCGCCAAAGTGTTTTTTTAAAGGATGTTTGCAGGTGTACAAACAACAGAAGGAACACCATGTTGGAGAATTCAACACCATCTTTGAGCATAGTGCTCTGAGGTTGAGTAGCTATCTGATAGCTGTCTTTTTTTTTGTAGCCTTTCAACATCCCCTGTCAACTGCGTGGATTTCAGCCTGGAAGATCGTACCTACTTGCGTACTAGATACATCAGTGTACCAGCACATGGTACCATTATCAACGAAGGGGTCTTTCCATTTTTTCCACTCTTTTTCTGTGTCGTCCTCGTTATTACATGGAGAAAGGAGATTAGCCCCAATATCTTCTTCATACCAGCTGTGGGACATATTCTCTTCGCTCCAATTAAAAACACAGCGACTATCTGCATTTTTAAGTTCCTTCTGTTTTGTTATCTGTTTGACTTTATAGGCTCTGGTAAACGCATGATGAGTCAGTCTGCTGGTAGGTACATCCAGAGTAAGATTTCCACTATACATCCCTGGTTTTTGCCTATTATCCTTCTGTACACCATTAATTCATGTGCAGCCTTTTTCATAGTAGTGTTCCTCGGAGGAATTTTTTTTAAAGGAGAGTGTGAGATCCTTTGGTTGTGGTTAACTAGATTACTCTTCTATGCTTTCCCTACTAAATAGTGGAGAATATAGTTCATGGTACTGTTAAATAGTTGTGGGTGTTGATAAAAACAAATTGGTGGTCAGGAATTATATTTTTAGTATTAAGGAATGGAGGAATTCTTTTTAATACTGTCAGGAAAAATCAACAAAAACCTGTTATATATGATATAATGTATATATACATCTTCAAGAATGTGATGTGAGATTATGTTGCACATTGGCACAACCAAAGCATTGATTACTTGCTCAATGCACCTAAGCATTGTATGCACATCAACGCAAGTCCAATAACCGGACAAAACGACCGTACAAAATCATTTCCCAGTCTATTCTCGTAGTAAAAAAAGTAGTACTACCTTTTTCCATTTTCATACTCGTTTCTTTTTTTCCCCCCGAGCGAGCAAATAAGACATTATTCATCTTTTTTCTCTTCCGAAAGATGTTCACCAGACGCAGGGGTTGAAAGCAACAGGGTTGGTGGGGATACAGGTGGTGGCAAATCGATCCCGACTCCATCACAGAATTTTCACCAGTCTCTCAGAAACGTCCGGATCGGCCGCATCGCTCTTACCCTCTCAGGAACATCACGCAGTTTCGTTTTTTTGTTTCATTTTCGAAAAAAAGAAAAAAAAAATTGTGCTCCGACCTCTGTGGATTTTTGTAACGCCTGGCTTGTTTCGGGGATGACCGACTGAACTCGCTATTTTCCACAAAGGTAACAGTTAAATTGAAATTGACAAAGAAACGAAATTTAATTGATTAAAACGCTCTTGAAACTAAATCTTTGGAGGGGGTAGCAATTAGCGGAAACGTTTGATATAATTAAACTCCTTGTTAAATAAATCGTGATCATTGGGCGGATAGGACGCATCAAGCGTGGCAAATTTAAGTAATGTGCCAATCCAGGGGGAACGGTTATTATTCAGCTGCCGGGCCTGTAAAGCCAATATAATTTACCTTAGTATTACAAAATTCCAGTATTTTAGCGGAAACGCTCCACTGGTAATGTGATGCATATATATTTTTAAATACGCCAGTTTCTTGCGTTTATATGAAAAATTAGAGATGGCTCGGAAGGCATCAACATCAAAAAAGCCTAACGTTTAATTTAGCTAGTTATCTTTAAAAATTAAACAACATCGGCTCTTCAAAAATTGACCTACCTTCTTTAATTTCTCAAAAATACAGTTTTGCCAAAGAATATTTATAATTTCTGAGACGTCTTAACTTGAAAAGTGACATGCAGCACTGACTTCGAGTCGAAATGACCAAATTCTCTAAAAATATATCCTATCCAAAACCTAAGTAAATATTAGAAATTCGACACAGAATATCAATTCATCTTCTATACACAACGGAATGGATTAACACAGGGAGAAAAATGGATCGTGTTGTTTATACCCGTTTTCTTTTCTATCGCATCAACAGGTTTCGTCTTTCTATCTCAACTGGAGTGAAAATCGTCCAAACCAATTTACTTTATCATTTCCATTTGTGAGTTGATCCAGGACATTTTCCCTTCTTTTTGTTTCAATTTAGTTCCATTTAAAGAGTACCGAAGTTAATAAATATGACACGTTTCGGAAAGGCAGATTGTTTCTGATCCATTGAAGAACAGTGTTAGGGTTGGATTTATTATTTTTTATTATTTGGAGACGGTGAGATGCCGTCTTGTGTGATACAGGTTTCAAAAAACATTTTCTTTTATCGAGCCAACGTTTCGATCGTTATTGAGATCATCTTCAGGGCTTGGGATTTACAAACATTGTTTAGATTATACAAATACATGTAAGATGTGAAAATGAATTTATACAATGATGCAAACAATATAGATAATTATTATTCAGAAATCGTGAGATGCGGTCTGGTGTGATGTAGGTTTCAGAAAAAACATTTTCTTATATAAATAAATAATAAAATATATTTTTTGCATCGTATAAATTCACTTTTTTCCACATCCTACATGTATTTGTTAAATTTAAACAATGTTTGTAAATCCCAGGCCCTGAAGATGATCTCAATAAAGATCGAAACGTTGGCACGATAAAGAAAATGTTTTTATAAAACCTACGTCACACCAGACCGCATCTCACGATTTCTGAATAATCATCTACTAACGGTCACTAATCACCACACACAATATAGAAATTTTAGGTTTAATCAAAGCATTTGTACTCACTCAAAGTGTGTGTTTTCTGTGTATATGTGTCACGGTTGTGTGTTGTGCTGAGAGTGATAGTGAGATATTAATGTTTTTTGTTTATATATGTTTGATTTTGAAGTAGTGCGGAAGGAAGTAGAATACATTTTTCTATGAGGTATCGGCTTCTTTGAGGTGAAAGTGGCCGATAATGGGAAAAAGGGCTTGCCGGGGATTTCGACTATGTAGAAATTGTTTGATGCGAGGAGTGTAATGATTGTTTTATATGTTGCATTATATGTTTTGTGTGTTACTGATATCGGATTTGATTTATGATATTAGCATAGTTGCGGCTGAGTTTTCATGATGGTGTGTTTATCTCTGATGATGTAAACCATTTCTAAAAAGTTACGTTTATTTATTCAGATATCGTGAGATGCGGTCGGGTGTGATGTAGGTTTCAGAAAAACATTTTCTTTATCGTGCCAACGTTTCGATCTTTTATTGAGATCATCTTCAAGGATCATCTTGGGCACTCTCAACACGACACGCAAGGATGGCAAAATTACACAGAAGACAAACACTTTGAGCTCTGAAGATGATCTCAATAAAAAATTGAAACTTTGTCACGATTAAGAAAATGTTTTTCTGAAACCTACATCACACCCGATCGCATCTCACGATATCTGAATAACTATCGATTGAGTAATCTCTACACAAAGTTACGTTTATGTTTGTTTTGTTCTGTGCTTAATATTTTTGGATTGTTGAAATCGAAATTGTGCTGGTGTTTAAAATGGTGGGGAGCCAGTGCTGTAGAATTTTTTAAAAGGTTTTTTGCAATCATAGATATGTTGTTTTACCCTCTTATCCAGATATTGGGATGTAAGTTGCCGGACAATTTATATAATTCATTTTGTAAATTATGCCAGATTTATTTGTTATATGTGAGTGATCTTTAATTTTGGATTTATTGTTGTTCAAAATACCTACGAATTAATAATAAAGTCATATCAAATGTGTGAAAGGAAAGAACAAACTCTCTTATAGAGAGATAATCCGTTTACAAACAGCCCGAGCATTCAACAAATTAGGAATAATAAACGGCATTCGACACCTTCCATTAACTCAGGTAATCTACTTAGTAAACTGAACTATTCCAATAAAAACGGCACCGCTTTTCGATTCTGGCGATAAATGCGAAAGGAAAATCCGCTAGGGAAACAAAGACGACTTAAGGGGCCAATTAACGCGCGCAAAGATAACGAATAGGGCCGATCAAATTGCTCCAGTTCTAAAATCGAACATCAGGCGCTGCCTTGGGTCGCACAAATTTTCACGTGCAACTTTCTGTTCAATTTGAAGGGTCACGGAAAGGAAACCTCGCAGAAAATGTCAAAATAAATCTGACAGACCACAAACAATCCGCGTTGGAACAGCATTGAAACCGACGCAGAACTTCTATTGAAGTTGGAAATAAAGCTTAAGAGATAAACCGTACTGTTGAGTAACATGTTCGTATGATAATTCAGGCCACGGCGTTCATGTTTGTTTTCTAAAAGGATAGAGCAACATTTTCAACGATCGTCCTAATAAACAAAACAATGCTAAATTACGTTAAATTTTGAAAAGTTTTAAGTTTAAATTCGGGCTTGAATATCCTCTCTGGTTTTGTCTGCTAGACGTTTTTCGGCATTTTCCCAACTTTTCGCGTCTGTTTGTTCTATCGGTCTCCTTTTCTAACTGGTGAAAGTGCAAATGTTTGGGCAATAGTCAATATGATCAGGAACGATTAAACTACTGGTTCGATTAACTTGAGGATAGTATTACAATGTTAACATGATATGTACGACCTTTTTTTCAATTAAACCGCGCTGGAAATTCTCTAGCCATATCTATCTGATTTTTTTTTTTTTTTTTTTTTTTTTTTTTTTTTNTTTTTTTTTTGGCGTTATGAACTATGCATATTAGCCATGTGACAATTCATGTATGTGTGTTCAAATTTGGGGGGGTTATTGTGAAAAAAGGGCCAGAGGCGACGGTGGGAATCGAACCCACGACCGCGGCGTGAGAGTCTCTCATGCTAACCACTCGGCTACCGCGGTCCCCATCTATCTGATTTTGTCCATTATTTTTCCAGTTGTTATGTTTCAGTTGTTTGTCTATGGTATTCCCCGTGTGTATGACTTTATTGTAGGTTTATAGGTACTCTAGATGTAGTTTTCTTTCATGTCTCTATGTTCAGTGGCTGGTCTGACCGTTTTCCGTACTATGTTCCTCCGACGCGTGCAATTTTTAATCTAAACCTCTGAGTCACTCTTAAACACATTCCTAAATATTTATTCCTTCCTTTATCACCCTTTACACAAATTATATAACTAATCTAATTGAGGGTCGATCAATCGATCTCAATAATCCACCATCGCCTCCCTGCACATGCACGCTAATAAATACAATTACTCCCAATATACAAAAAATGGGAACACAAAACGAGATATTTGTCATATACTGTAAACAATAAAACAATCGTTTTTTTTTTTCAAAAATCGGAACATGGGACCTAATAATCCCTCCCGTGCTAAAGCGTAACTCGCATATCAGATGGTATTCTTACACGCTCTCCATAAGGAGCCAATGAATGACACCATTCAATTAAGTGGTACACATCGAGCAATCTTTTTCTAAATGACGGAAACATAAGCGGGCATTGACCCATCTTTACAAGTTTGTTTAAAAGTACTAGATAATCCTATTAAAAAATAAAATAGACGATTTATTCAGGAATTACAGTGTATAATGATGTTGCTACATAAATTTAAATGAGAAATTATTTTATTTTTATAATTTGTGTTTTTTAACCACATGGTAAAGCTTAAAAAACTCACAAATTTTATTTTTGTATGAGAGAGATTTGTAAAATAAAGCTTATTAAGCCTGACGTGTTAATGTTGTTTATTTTATAATTGATTTATGGATTTTTCTCTCATATCTCCGAATTGTAGGCATTAAATATTAAATTAAGAGATTGGATTATTTGGATAAACGTCACACAAACAAACCGAAATTATTTCTTTTTTCAAGAATAATGTATAAACCATTTAACTTTAGAAAACAAGAAAACTAGAGAATAAAAAGGCTTAAACTTTCAAATTTACATTATCTTTAAATGATAATCTCAGTTTATGAAAATTCACAAGAATCCTTCTTTTCGGTAAAAAATCACAATATTGTATCCCCCTATCATCCTAAATCCTGGAAGCCGAGCAAAAAGGTTTTCATCGTTCAAGCACCCTATATTTACATAATGAATTATGATAATTTTACAGATTATTCCAGTAAGTCGGAGGCAATTGACAGGGGTTTTTTCCCTCGATCCCCACAACCCCTCGCACCACAGCCGAAAACATTCCCTAAGTGAAAGCAGCTTTGCCCCTAATACTTGTCATCTGCCAATTCCCGTTGGATTTGGGATGCCCGGCACGCCTGCCCGTTGCCTCCTTTCGGTGTCATCCCTGACAAAACAAGTATCAATCTGAATTAAAGCCGGAAGAATGACCGTAAAAAATGCGATGCTG